AGTTTCTACATTTAAAAATAAAAATACACTTACTAAAAGTGCAAAATGACTTTTTGAGGGTGCCAATAACATCTCCCCTGATTTTTTTTTTTTGTGTTATTATTATTAATAGAGGAAAAATAGTGGAAGAAGAATGATGTAAGCCTGTAGAAGAAATATACAAGGAAAGACACAAAGTAAATCCAAAAAATTATTAAGTTGTTTTCATTTTTCCTTATTATTCCTTTTGTTGTCTCCCGTCACCATTCCTTTCCCTCACAAACTTTCCTCTTATTTCAAACATAAAAAATAAAAATAAAAAATGAAATAGTTATTAAACGATTCTAAATTAAAATCGAAATTGGACGGAAGGGAATAATTATCCCAAGATTGGCATGAGTACCTATATTTATAGATATAGATCCTGCACCTTCAGAAAGTGCTTCCGCTTTCCACTAACCTTGAATTCTGTTCTGATTAAGACAGAGAACAAGGTTCTAGGTTCTCAACACTCAAGTGGGTTTGGTCTATTTCTAGCTAGTTTGCCAAACATTTGGAGTTCGGCCGCCTATATTATACATATAGGTTCACACTCACTCGAATTAAGTTGAGTGCTGTCTCTCTAAGAAATTAATTCGTAAAAACTCTAGGTGCTCTGGAGTATATTTTGAGAATTTATTGTTGAATTTTAGTTTTTTGGATTTTTAACTAAAAATTTAATTTGAAGCATCCGATATTCCGAAGCATCACAAGAAACTGCAAAAATTAGATAGTTGATCACTTTTCTTTTAAGCAAATTATAAAATGCTTTTTAAGTTTTGACTGATCGAGCAGGGGCAGATTAATGTGCGCCTCAGAGTCATTTGTCATAATCAATATGCTTAACCACTCGGCGAGGAATCCTGCTTTCCGACTTGTAACAATATCAATAATCATCACTAATACGCATTTGATTCTCCTTAAGTGTGTTTCTGTCGACGATAATGACACATGCAATTGTACAGAAATATTTCAAAAATTCTGTCAACAATAAAAAATCACTCATCTTGATGGTGAAAGAGGCCAGTCGGAGAGTCCTAAGCATAAATCGATTGGCAAAATTTATGACCTTGTCAATATGCACGTTTACTACAATGGATATCTTGCTTGCATCTGTTGAAAATTTTGACTGCAAGTGAGAAATTCTATTTTCAATTAATAGAGTATTGAGAGGGAGAAGTCAAACCTTAAAATCTCGTGTTATGGTTAAATGCTTTGAACTACTTGTATTCTAGTTATAAATTCCTTACAAATGAGAAATTTCTTACAATTATAGATGAGAGATTAAATAATATGAGAGAGAGATATATAATTGTTAATTGGTCATTTTTCCATATATATGTAACTTTGATATAAATTCAATTTTGTAAGTCATTCTTGAGTTTAGTCCAATTTGTTGGATTAGGTACACTTATTAATTATCCACACCATCTTATTTCTATTAAATTGTGGCCAATATTATTCTTTACTTATATGATTATATTAGCCATTTCCGGCTCTAGTCGGGGTAGGTAGTTAGTATTGAGATATGTAATTGCGTTCAAATCAGGCTACATGCTGACCAAAAAGGAAGAGGAATTCTTGTAGAAGGGACTCGACTAGAAGGAAGAGGGAATCGACAGAAGGGAGAGAGATCTTTTTCTAGTTAGACTTCTATTAGTGCAATGAAAGAACCATCCCTTCCTATTTGTTTGTCCTGTCAAATATCCTAAAACCCCTTAACGATTAGACTTTTAGTCTTTTAGCCAACTCACTTAACAATCTCTCTTTGAGATGACACGCACAAAAAGTCCCATGTTTTTCTTAGTTGGACCATTTTTTGAGAGAGAGCAAATGAATCTTATCCCCTATATCGAACACTAAATCTTGTCTATTGGTAGAAAGATCTTCATCAAATAACTTATTTTAGGAATTTCTCATATCCAAGACAACTTACCAAGTTAAGAGCACACTCACGAATGAGCAGGTCAACATGCCAATCAGTTCTTCAGGGGAGATCCTACTCTGCTAATGCTATAATCCAATCTAGGCGAATGGATGTACTAAAGGTACGCCCACCACTTCACTTTCACCTAGGCCCGGGCCAAGTCAGTGGGGGGACCTTGTTGGGCTCCCCTCCTCCCCCTCCCCACCCCAAAAATAAAAAAACTTAGTTATTTCACAGCATTCCAATCAATACCAGTAAAAGGATCCCTAATCGAATAAAAAATTGTAGAGTTAGGGAGACTTCCTCACTTAGCTCGTGAAACAATAGCGAAGCTTAAGTGGTGATGCAAGTGCATGGTGAGCGTAGTAGCCCCCTCGGGCATGTTCCTTGTATAACCAAGAGAAAAGATAGTGAGAGCATGTATTATTAGCTTCTGAAGGACACTAAAAAGTAGAAGTAGTATGGATTTTGAAATGGTAGTCATAAACTTCTTCCAATAATTTTGTTTTCCTCTTCATTTTCCATGTTAAGGGCTTAGAAGAAGGCTCATGTTGGAAAGCAAGCATGTGCAAGAACCAATCAGGATACAAATTTGGAAGAGAGAGAGAGAAGCATGTCAATCCCAATCCTTGAAGCTTGCAAAAAAGAACAAGCGAAGGCAAAATATTTTAGGGTTTAAAATCCGTTCTACGATTCAGGTAGCTCGATTAATTGTCCTCATGGTCCCACCCAATAGGCCGAAAAATGTTGCAATAAATTGCCTTCTTGTAGCATTCAGAAGCTTAATCTTATGGGCACAGTGTGTCTTCTTGGATATAGAAGCTGTAGTAAATAATTAAATTCCTTTTCTTCTACCTCTATGACAAATTAATTGTCTTAACTAATGCCCCATCGCTACCGACACGTTGCTTCCCACCCGAACAACCGTAGCAGCTTCCTACCACCATATGGTGTAGGTACTAAACCACTAAAACAACCTTAGCAGCTGCTTACCACCATCGCTACCGAAACGTCGCTTCCCACCCGTCTGAAACCAATGCCCCCAACAAAACTTTTAAAATCAAGCCATACGACGAGTACGACGAGCACGACATAGATTGCCATTGCACATCGAAAGAAGCCAGCGGGAATAAACTCATTAGCAACATTGCCATCAAAGGCAAATAGAAGAAAGGAAATGGTGTGAACACTCGAATTGGAGGTCTACACACCTTCCAAAGCAGGAGGTTTTGGAGGAAAAGGACAAACGGCCAAAGGGCAGGGGAAAACAGAGGTTAAGGTATAAGTAAAGAAAAAGAAAGAAAAAAAAAAAAGAGAAAGGAGGAGAAAATGACTGCAAACCGATCTTAGCCATGGCTAGGGCCGGTGGCTACGAGAAAAAGTAAGCGAAGGAAAGTCACTCACAATCCGATGAGAAAAACTCTCACACCGAACAGGAGAGAAAGTTGACCGATAACTTTAATAGTTTAGTCAATAAAATTGATATCTTTTGATAAATTATAAAAAATCTAATTTACTTTTACTGCAAACCAACATTGATTTTTTTTTTTGTAATTATAATTTGTCATTTTATTCATGCAGGGGGTTAAGAACACGTATTGGGAATCTTTATTGTAAAAAAAGTTTATTGTACTTCTAGCTTTAGATTAATATACCGGTTACATAAAGTTTTCAAGTAATTTATGAAGTAAATTGTAGCAATGACCCCTCAACTTTAATCAAATTGGAGCAATGATTCCTCAACTAAAAATTCATTACTATTGATCCCTCGACTCATCAACATGTGTAACTATAGTCATTTTCATCAACTTTGTAAGAATTTTGTCAAAATAAATTATGTGGGAATGACCATTACTACAATTGAGATCCCTCAATTTATCAAAATGTGTATCTATGGTTATTTTCATCAACTTCGTTAGAATTTTTTCAAAATGAGTTATGTTGGAAGGACTATTGCTACAATTGGGGTTAAAATTGATGGACCATTAAAAGTTAAGGGATCATTTCTCCAGTTGGATTAAAGTTGAGGGACCAATGGTAAATGAATTTTTAGTTGAGAGACCATAGATGCATGTTTTGATGAGTTGAGGGACCAATGGTAATGAATTTTTAGTTGAGGGATCATTGCTCCAATTGAGTTAAAATTAATTGACCATTGTTACAGTTTACTCTAATTTATGGGATCCTAATTTTTTTTTTTTTTAACATACGATATTATTTACACTAGTCACTTAGTACTACGGTGTAGTGATATTCTTCTTTGCTTGTAAGTGGGAGGTCTTAGGTTTAATTCTCGCCAAAAGCGAATTTGAACCACATTATTGCAAGCCTACTGTGAGGCTTAGACCATCGTCCCATTTAGTGTAAATAATATCCTTTTCTTTTTAACAAACGTATTATCTACACTAAGAGGGTGGAGAAGAGGGTTAAGCCTCATAATAGGTTACCAATAACATGGTTCAAGTTTGCCTTTGGCGAGAATTAAACCTATACCTGTCACTTATAAATAAAAAGAAATACCAGAAGACCATAGTACTAAGTGATTTCTGAGATCATAATATTAGATACCCACAATTACATGATGCATTTTCCCTTGGAATCATTTTAGCTTGACCAGAACATTGGATTATTAACTTACATTTCTTTTGAGATAAAATATGGGCACATTTTATTTAATTTCGTCTTTCAGGGGTGGCTGAAAAGTGATTTTCAATTTTCATTCGTATCCATGGCAAGAACAATAACCATAGATTTGATTTGTGAATTTATGCCAGTATCTCATATAGTTAAGAGCAGACAGAGATGCCGTCTTAAAATTATTCTCCAATTCCAAATCTTAACGACAAAATAGTAACATATACATTGGGAATCATTACCTTTGTCTTCCAAGACCCTTTATCCAGTTGGTTTTTTTTGAGGTTTTCTGTTTTATTCTTCTGGTGATTGATTGAGACACAGCAAGCATGATAATTTGACGTGTCCAAAAGAAAAAAAATGATAATTGTAAGCTCCCCCCTATTAGGACATATAGTTTATCCACACATTTATTTATGATGGGAAGAGTTTTTTTTTTTTCCTGAATGTTTTCCTACCTTGATTATATCAATTAGCATTGGTCGTACCTATCCTTTTTAGAATAATTCAAAGGACTCAAATTCTACTGTGTGTGTATATATTTATATTCAAATCTTACACTTGAAGCCTTGTGGAATAAATGTTGTTATTTGTATTCCATAAATCTGCATTTAACATTGCTCTTTTTTTTTTCCTGAAAAAAATTGTATTTTGATAGGGTTTCTGATGTTGGGCAAGAACACTGAGCACAAGTAGTAGTATTTCTAGTTCTTGTTCTTGCAAACGGTGTTTCGAAATCCAGAGATTTCAGTTTCTTTTCTTTTGTAAATGAATGGGAAGAAGATTGATTGCCAAGAAAGAAATCAACAAAGCCATGAATTAATCGGTGAGTGCGGTTTTGAACTTGGTAATCAGTCTTGTCAAATTTTTGGTCAGCAGCAACAGCAGGCTTGGAACAATATGGGAATTTGGGTTCAGCAACCCACCATGGATCATGAAGTGTCACTGCTTCAAAATCTTGGGCCTCCTAAAACTCCCAGCAGCATTATCAGCCGCTTCGAATCGCCGGTTTCAGCTTTCTACGCAACTGAACTCTATATGGGGGGGTTTCCACAGTATGACTTTCAAGCTGGTCAGAATCCTCAGTTCCCTTCAGGCCAATCTAATAATGAAAGCTATAGCTCCATGAATTCATCTGAGCAAGATCCGAATTTCGACATCAGAAACACCCTGCAATCAATTGTGAAATCTCAACCCAGCAGCTATCAATACCATAAATCCTCAGAGAAGTGTAATCGAATCCCAGCAAGCGATTTGTCAGGCAGTAAGCTGTTTGCACATCAATCAAATAAGTTGCATGGAGATCATAATACTACTACAGTTAGAAGACCCTCCTTTTCCCTTCCTTCTAAAGAAAATCAGGATCAAGTAGTATGTATATTCTATCTAAGAAATTCATCTTTTTTTGTTGTTTCTTTTTTGTGCATTGATTTTTCAAATGCCCCACCACGCCATCAAGATATGAATACGGGCTAGTTTCTTGTTCACAGGGTTATTGTAATTCGTTCACTACTTCTCCGGTTACACAACTGAGCGTCTTTTCTGGGCAAGGAAAGCAGCCTCCAAGAATTTCCTCCAGACAAGTTTCCGATTGTTATGGCAATTCTCCTTCATCCAGCCCTGTACTCTCAAGTAAAACACGAATTCGTTGGAATCAAGATCTTCATGAGAAGTTCGTTGAGTGTGTAAATCGTCTTGGGGGTGCTGACAGTAAGTAACATGTCTAATTTACTATGTAAAAACAGTTGATGTCTGTATGTTGACTTATCTGTTGGTTTTGTAGAAGCAACACCAAAGGCAATTTTGAAGATGATGGGTTTGGACGGATTAACCATCTTTCATGTCAAAAGTCATCTGCAGGTATAAAGGAATCCATTAGAAAAATTACTTCTCCTTGGCTTTTTTCCTTTCCAAAAGCATGATTTGTTTTCCTCCCTCTCCTTTTTATTCTTCTTGTAGAAATATCGAATTGCGAAATACCTACCAGACCCAGCAGAAGGTAAATATTGAATCGTTAATATCATACACTCGTTCCTTGTGAATAAGTCTTTTCCTTCATGTTACAAACTACAAGTGTCTATAAAATTTAATGGTCAATTGGCTTAGCTTGTTTTACCAATAGTTCTGATCTGAGTACTTTTCTTGTGTTACAGGAAAATCTGAGAAAAGAACTACTTTGAATGTTGAACCCCAGCTCAATGTGAAAACGTAACCTATCTTATTACCCTGATTGTTGTTTTGGTTTTTAGTTTACCGTTACGATTCTAAATGAACATGTTTTCCTGTTTACTGCTTTGTCCACCAGCCTCTTACAAACCTATGATGTGAATATTTATCGCAGTTGCTTGCAAATTAAAGAGGCACTCCAACTGCAATTAGATGTCCAGCGACGTCTTCACGAACAATTGGAGGTACATTCATGCGATCCAATTTAGTGATGTCTCAAGTTATATATACGATTGTCAAATAGTTTTCTTAGTAGTATATCATATTAATACTCCAATTTTCATTACAAAATTTATTCAACTATTTCTATATGCAGACTCAACGAAAGTTACAGTTACGAATTGAAGAACAAGGGAAGCGGCTCAGGAAGATGTTTGATCTGCAACAACAAACAAGTAGTAACCCGTTGAAGGCTCAGAACTCGGATGTCACATGCCATGAAGCTTCCCCAGCAAATAGTCTCGACGATACTGATCAGCTTTCAACTCCTGAAGGTTCTAGTTTTCCCTCCAAGATAAGTTAGCCCTGAAAAGATAATTAGTCTGTCATTCTTCACACAACGGAACTCATACGGTTTCTTCGTCCTCAAAAAGTTCAGTCCTTTAGCAGAATCAAGAACTTTAAATAATACTACTGGTAAAGTAAGAAGGAAAGCAAAAATTGGAAGATGATAGTGAAGACTACAATCAATTGACTGGCAGTCATACATTCATCATATGCCATTTTGAGGATATGATCCTATAGAACGACTCTTTTTTATTGTTTCATAAAGTTTGTGTGGCAGTACTGTAACAATGTCTTAGTGTGAAAATTTTTATTTTATTTTATTTTATTTTATTATTTTTATTTTTATTTTTTATTATTATTTTTTTTTGTGTGTGTGGAATCGATGGGGACATATTTAGACACAGCGTCCGTCAAGCTTTTGGTCCAATGGAAGAGTCAACAGGATAATGTTTTACCAGTTCCGTTATCCTCCCGCTCCTCCTAATAATAATAATAGTTTTGTAATTTGGTAAAGACTCAATAAGATTATTGCATGCTATTTTATTAAACGAAAACTAATGAAAAAAGTTTGAAAATTTTGAGTCTTAACGATAAGGACAAAATAAAGGGTAAAGTGAATAGTACTAAGTTTAACTTTTTAGTGTAAAAATGTGATTTTTCATTAAAATGAACAGTACCACGAGCTTTTCGTTAAAACTCTCATTTATTAATCCTGCTTCAACTACGTTCGTGAAATTTGCAATCTATACTTTTCCTTTTCGCACTTCACCGGCAGTTCCAAGAAACAAAACACAAATTTATAATGTTTTGTAGTGTCGGGGTAATGGATACTAACTATTGCAAATTTGATGGAATTATATTTCTCTCTTTTCCATCGTCATATCTGGAGTTCCCAAGGTTGCATGTGTAGTTTGGGAAATAGACAAAGCCATATTACATTTTAATCCTTGTAGTTTACTGCAATTTTCACTTTCGTCCTAGTAGTTTTCTTATTACATTTTCTTCCTTGTAGTCATTTTTCTTTTACTTTAGTCTAATCCGTCAACAAAGTTGGTAACTCTACCCATGTTTGTGCACGTCTACTCATTGAATCTCCAAATTAGAAATTGTTTTTTGCCTCATTTGAAATGTTTGAGTAATGATGCTAACAAAATAATGAAAGGACAAAATATAACAAAAGGCTTTTTAGCCAAAATGGTCTCTGAGATTTGCATTATACCTTACTTTGGTCCCTAAGATTGAAAATCAATAGAAATGGTCCCTGAGATTGTCTACCATCCATTATTTTGGTCATTCCATTAAAAATTCCGTTAAGTGTCCCGGAACTCTTGGCCTGAAGTTTGGGCAATTTTTAAAGCTTCGTAATTCAATCGTTTCTTAACCAAATTTGACCCATATATATCAAAATGAAGACAGGAAAGTGTAGAACAAGATTATTCCTATTTGAAGGATCAATGGTTGACGGAGATGGCTAGAAAATAGCCTGAAAAGTGACTGGTCCAAGGAGAATACTGAAAAACTCACTGGAAACTGGGTAAATTTTAAACGTTCTTAAGAAATTGGGTGATTCAAAAACAAAAATCATACTTCTCGATGAGATGAAAAGAATGGTACCTTTTTGAAGACTAAATCTCCGTCGTTTGGTCAGAAAACGGCTCGAAAGTGGCTGTCTTGGTCTCAAGTTAGCCACTTCCGATCCATTTTTCGGCCAAACCATGAAGAATTAACCAAGGAAAAACGTACCATTTTCTTCGTCTCATTGAGAAGTATGATTTTAGTTTTTGAATCACTTGATTTCGTTAAGTATTGAAGAAGTTATGAACATTTAAAGTTTACCCAGTTTTCAGCGAGTTTTCAAGTTTTCCTGTGGACTAGTCACCTTTTAGGCTATTTTCCGGCTATCTTTGGCAACCATTGGGTTACAAATAGATATAATCTTGTTCTACACTTTCCTATCTTCATTTTGATAAATTATGGATCGAATTTGGTTAAAAAACGATTGCGTTACGAAGCTTTGAAAATTGTCCAAACTTCAGGCTAAGAGCTCCTCGACATTAACAGAATTTTTAACGGAATGACCAAAATAATGAATGGTGGACAATCTTAGAGACCATTTCTATTGATTTTCAATCTCAGGGACCAAAGTGATATGTTATGCAAATCTCAGGAAGATAACAACTTTTCATTTAAAGGGAGTATTAAATATTTCTTTTTGGTGGGATTGATTTCAAAAGACTCGAAAAGAAGAAGGAAAAAAATATTATTCAATCTTAACATAGATGAACAAAGTTATTGTCAGTGACTGTATGAGTTTCCATTTGAATATGATTTGTATCTCTTAAGAACAGAAAACATTATTATTAAAGAAAAAAAAGTGAAGAAAAAATTACTTGATGATCCGGTATGCCGAGAAAAGATAGAGGAATATATTGAAGAAAATGAATCGTTATACCTATTGAAAGTCCTACTTTGATTGGTGTAAATGTTCTGAAAGCAGAAGCTTTACAAGTTGTTGCAATTGGGAACCCAAAAGAAGATGAATTACAAACGACCAAGGAAGAGGCATCTCAAATAAAAGAGAAGTCGAGGTCAAGTTTTTCTTAAGTGGTAGAGAATATGAGAAAAGAGAATAATGATGAGAAAGAAATTTTGCAAGCGATTTCCTATGAGCTCCAAAAGGTTGAAGACCCACTTATGAGCAACAAAATTCAAAGTATCGATTCTTTTGAAACCTCTATTGACATGGTTGTAGGTGACAAAGCCAATTTGAAAAATTTACAATCAACCAAGGTGAAGTTAAAAGACAAAGTTGACCGTTCAGGCGAGTTTGTAATGCAAAAAGAAAATTATGCCGTTTGAACTGTGAGTATCAAGATGCTAGTACTAAACTCATTTAAGGTATATAGTTCATGATCATTCAGTCAAGGTATAATGTGTTGGAGTATGCCTGAAAAGAAATTAATGTGGCAACGTGTAACTAGTTATTTGTGGCAACCCAATGTCGGATTATCAACAATAAAAGGTAAGTGATAACATCCATCAATCGAGCACATGATCCAATAACGGATAAGGAAGGTTCGTTATTGAATGGGACGAGTCCAAGGAATAACCTAAGTAGTAGGGACATGATTGCAAAGTCGTTTCAATCATGAGATACGTATCCTACAGATTTTAAGTCCTAAATTATCTTCCTGGCCATAGGATAATCAAAAGGACTATCGTACATTCGCAAAGACTGGTTTATGTTGTATTCAGTAGTACGTCTCAGACTATGCATGTAGTGACATGCAATTGACATAAAGGTGCTCTTCTATGAAATCGAGTTCATTGAACAATGACTAACTATAGAAGTGTATGAATAGAAGATTACCTACTTATCAGTCGTACAACACTTCTAAGTTATGGATGTAAATAGTTCTTAAACCTGAGGCATCACTGGTTATCTTATGTTATGAATGTGATCTTTAATCTGGCATCAAAACTCTCAAACAATGGTGGAGCACTATAATGTGAGGTTCGAGATCATGTGCATCAATATGGAGATACATGAATGCACAATAAGGAATCTGTGACCTTCTAGGTAATCATGAAGGTTTATATTCCAGAAGCCCCTTGACAATCTATCTCTAGAAGTCTTTAGTCAAAGCAACATATAAGAGATACATCATGGCGATCATATTCATGCTTAATTAGAGTTTGAAAAATGTTCCATGATCTAAAATATATGAGCAGAATATAGTAGACAAAGGTACCGAATTGCATTGCAACCATAACTAAGGTTCTCAATGAATTGCATTGCAACCATAACTAAGGTTCTCAATATATGTTGTATGAATTCAAACATATTCTGATTAATTTGGATAGTTGAAAGTCATTACTAGATGTTACTATTCGGTTTGTGGATAATCCTACAAGGTTGAATTAGAATGGTTTCTAATTATGTAAACTTAAAATTAATTTGATTAATCGAATTATCCACTGCCAGCTTTAGTTAGAACCAACAAGGTCACACACAATAGAATGATATCGAAGGATAAAATTGGTGAATGTTGATTTTGATATAAATGGTTTATATTAAATGTTTAATTTTTTATTAATTAGTTTGGGCCTTCTATTTATTGTTGGTTAATGAACTAAAATAAAATAAGAAAGCCTAGTATTAAAGGAAAAATCGAATTAATTAAACAAATAAAATAAGGAGTGAAACGGTGTCACATCCGGCCCGGGCCCCCACTATATTCCGGGCTCGACTCCACCGTAGCATGATACTGTCTGCTTTGGGCCCCGACCACTCCCTCATGGTTTTGTTTTTGGGAACTCACACAAGAACTTCTCAGTGGGCCACCCATCCTGGGATTGTTCTCGCGTGAACTCGCTTAACTTCGGAGTTCCATTGGAACCCGAAGCCAATGAGTTCCCAAAAGGCCTCATGCTAGGTAAAGATGGGAATATACATATAAGGTTTACAGGATTCACTCCCCTGGACGATGTGGGATGCTACAATCCACCCCCCTTAAGGGCCTGATGTCCTCGTCAGCACATGACAGCCAGCACGTCTTGATTTCGGTCTGGGTGTGTCAACCTGGCCCAAGTCCAATTGCAAAGGGGGTGTGCGGCAAGCCCAAATGAAATGTCTCCTATGGCATGGGGCACACATGTGAAAAAGAAGGATTAAATTATAATTGTATTGGCTTATGGAATTGTTCTATATATAAGCCTAAAGGGTCTTTAGACCTAAGGGGTGGGTTTTACATATTGCGAAATCAAATTCAGAGGGAAGGGAATTAGGTTTTTTTCAATTTAGAGAAATTGAAAAACAAAACACCACACAAACACTTATTGGAAGAGAAGAACCTAACGGTTCGTCGTCTTCTTGCTTCACCAGAGTTTTGGAGATGGGTGCAAAGCATGCATGGTCCGTGTGTGTGTGTGTGTGTGTGTAAAGACAAAAGAAAGAGAAATAGAAAATAAGATGTTGCCCCATGTATATGGTTAATCACCTATTCGATTAATCATTTTGCTAAATTATTTGAAGACATGCTTCAAAGAAACTAAGATTTTGGTTACAAACATATATCATATTGGATATAAAACTAAAAGTAATGAAGCCTTTGTATACATATAACTACCAAGCATTGTTTCTTGAAAGCATGTGCGGATTGACGATGCCATGTTAATATTCCAATACTTGTACATACAAGTGTCGACAATTGTCAAATTAGGATTCGGACTAACATGTTATAATCTTTGTGGACAAATGCCACTACTGTATTGAGTATGACACGTAAATTTACAACAAATTATTAGTCGAATATTTGTATTTAGCTACTTTGTTGGGTTAGGTCATTATTCGCTTTAGTCCATTTTGTTGGGTTAGGTTCCTACATTGATCATTCACATTAGCTTATTTTTATTATCCTTTTATTTAATTGTGATAAATGTTCTCTCTTATTTAGAGAACTATTTTTTAGTTATTTTCATATATTCTACCTCCATCACATGTTGAATGTATTCAATCAACTTATGGTATAGGTATTATGTTTAATGACATGTAAATTTTCTTTTAACTATTTTTCCAAAAAGTGGTTAGATTTTCATATTTAAATATTCAAAATAAAAATGTGAATAAAGATGCATAAATCAAGAAGTTTAATTAAAATAGAAAAGTAGGACACTGGACAAAGGGCCAGTTTGGGATTGCTGTGTTTTTTTAATAAATTACTTCTCATGTGCTTTAAGAATAATCAGCTACAAAATAAAGTAGTTGAATGTTTGATAAACTGTATTTTTAAAAGTGTTGTGAGTATAAAAAACAGTGTAAAAGCAATGTCTAGGAGGATAAATAATGTAATTGTTTAAAATTAATGATCTTATATGATTTAAAAAGTATTCTAAAGGCTCAACTCCGCTTTTTATTAAAGTGGTTTTTAAAAGCAACCTATAGGCTGCTTTAAAAGCTGATGTCTGGAGACCATTGCTTTTAAAATAAGCAGTATATTTTATTTTTACCAAATATTTTTTTACTGTTTAACTTTAAAATGAAGCAGTTTTGAGTGAAAAAAAGAAATACCAAACTGAGCCTAAATCCAATAACACTCGAATTTTTGAGCCTACATCAAAGTACCCCCTTTTTTTATTAGATAAAACTATTACTCAGTTTACAAGAAAAATATATGAACTATTCTGGCTTTAGATTAATACAATCTTACATGAACCTTTCTGGTAATTTCAAGGATCTTAATTTCTAATTTTTCTTTAATAGTTTGGAATACTAAGTTTTTCGAAAAATGAACAATGAAAAACATGATGATTCTAAACTTTGTTATTGCGACAATACCAAAGTTGAAAAACATCATGATTCTAAATTCTTCTTATTCGCACATTTGTTTATAATGGGAAAAGTTGTTATTTTCTCAATTTTTTTCAACTTTGGTTATATCAATAGGCATTGGTCGTATCTATATATTCTCTTAAGAATAATCAAATGGACTACAATACAACTATGTATATTTATATTCAAATCTTACACTTGGAGTCTTGTGGAATAAACGGTGGTTTTGTATTCTGAAAAAAATTGGATATTTATAGGGTTTTCTGTTGTTGGGCAAGAACATGAAGTACAAGGACTCCGATTTCTACTTGTTATTTTTATTAAGGTGTTTGAATCTTCTGATTTCAACTTCTTTCCTTTGAAAATGAATGAGCAGAAGATTGATTGCCAAGAAAGAATTCAACAAAGCCATGACTATATCAGTGAATTTGTTTCCACTACTTATGGTTATTCCCCTTCAGGTAGACATGTACTCTCGAGTAAAACACGAATTCGATGGACTCAAGATCTTCACCAAAAATTCGTTGAGTGTGTGAATTGTCTTGGGGGTGCTTACAGTAAGTAACTTGGTATGGTCTTGTGTAATTTACTATGAAATGACAATTGATGTATAAATGTTGAATTATCTGTTGATTCATTGTAGAAGCACCACCCAAGTCAATACTAAAGTTGATGAATGTAGATGGATTAACCATCTTTCATGTCAAAAGTCATTTGCAGGTATTAAGCAATTCCTAATATCTTTTATTTCTTGTTCTTATTTTAAGCTCTCCAAAAGTGTGATTCATCTTTCTCTTTTCCTTTTGATTCATCTTGTAGAAATTCCGAAATGCAGCATTCCCACACGGCTCTGCAAAAGGTAAATATCAGATCGTTAAAATTTAGGTTTAGTGTTTGTTTTACCATTAGTTAGGGTTTAGGTTGTTTTACCATTAGTTATGATCTATGTGACACTTTTTGTATATTGCAGGAAAATCTGAGAAAAGAACTACTTCGAATGTTGAATCCCAACTCGATGTTGAAACGTAATGCTAAACCTGATTGTTATTTTGTTCTTCAATTCACGTTGTTATGTTCACTAGCTTCTTATAAACCTGTACATGATGTGAACTGTTTTGATAGTGGCTTGCATATCAAAAAGGCAATCCAACTTGAATTAGATGTCCAACAACATCTTCACGAACAGTTAGAGGTACATTCATGTGATCTTTTTTTGTGTCTTCTCAAATTATATATATATATATATATGTATGTATGTATGTATGTATGTATGTATGTATGATTCTGAAATCAAATTGTTAATTGTATAACAATCTAACATTTTAATCTTCGTAAAAAATTTATTTAATTAACTTTTTCTGTATGTAGATTCAACGAAATTTACAATTGCGAATTGAAGAACAAGGGAAACAACTCAAGAATATAAGTGAGCTGCAAATTGACCTGCAACTCAAGAACTCGGACACCACCTTCTACGAAGGTGCCCCATTAAGTAGTCTTGATGACGAGTTTATTGGTTTGTCTATTAATACATAATTGGGAATAAGCTAAGTCTTCAGACGTGAATGGATTCTATTGTGATATTATTTATAGCACATGTGTGATTATGTAAATCACTAGTAAATTGTATTTAAGATACTAGAAGATCCTATCCCTTTATGATTGTATACTTGCAAGAAAAGTGCAAGACAAGGAATCATATCCTGTTTATTATAAATAAAGGCACAAGGCATAAGAGATAACATACAAAATTCCTTAAACCCTTCTCCATCTCCCTCTCCCGTGCCATCTCTCATTTCGTAAAATAGGCCACAACAGATTCATGTATCTTACTTAATATTTTAGTCTGTTCATACTTAGTATTTTAGTCTTTAAATAAAGTTTGTGTGACAATAATATTGCAACAATGACTTATTTGTACTGTAATTTTTTTTTTTTGGTGTGAAATCGATTAAGACTATTTGACACAAATTCGAGCTTTTGATGCGATAAAAGACTCATTAAGATGATTCAACTTTTATGAGACTGACACTTGCGATCTTGTGCACACATTACACATTGCCATCTTTTTAATCCCTTTCAATCAAATTCACTTCCTTGCAAATTAGACTATCTTTGTATAAAAATAAAAAAAATTAAGCAGTGACCAACTAATTATAGTAATGCATCATATGTTTACAATCACAACTAGTTCTCAAACCACTTGAAGTGCTGCTCATAATATTATAAGAGCTCATGCCGCAAGCAGAAATGAGAGAGAAGCAAACGAAATTGGCAGTTCTTACAACTTTCATAGGATGAGGAATAATGTTGTTATGTTGCTATTTACATGCTAAGTAAACATACATTTGCTTGAAGCTTTAAATTATGTCCAGATTCCACATCACTTCAGGTCGGATTTTTCCCTTTGATCAGTAGTACGTTACGTTTTTACTCTACCTTTATAGATTTAGAAAATAATAATTGAATAAATGAAGAAAATAATCTTTTTTTTAATTAATAAATATTCATTTATCGATATACTAAAAATATCTTAAATTTTTTTTAGTGGTGCCATGCCCACCCATTGTTTTATTTACCCATCACTTGAATGCGATTTTTTTTTTTTTTGGATAAATTTAATCTCATGCAAAATGACCTGCAAGATCTATACAAAACAAGATCCTAAAAATTAGTAAGTGATATAAGAGAATTCTTAACGTCACTAGCCAGTACTCACTCAACCATTTTTGTTGGCAAAGCGACCAAAGAACACTCAATGACACCAAGAAATATCCAATCGCCCAAGTAAACTGCAATCGTGCACCAGATTCCTCCTTCCCACTATTCCAGACTTGAACTTTTCGAGCAAATCTCCTTGATTTCGACGACACAGTCATCACAGAGCAACCGGGGGAAGGAGACCTCGTGAGGACAAAGACGAGGCACCGTCTATGTGCGATTGTTCTTGGTAAAAATCATTATGCAGGCACGAGAGAAGAGGGGAAGGCAATAGAGAGAGAGTAGAAAGAGAATTTGAATCCCCCTCATCCGGAACTTAGGAGAAAAGAGGGTGTTTGTCATCGCCGTGCAAGGTACACTACAAGAAAACTGAGCTTTGGGTACAAAACAAAGGGTACCATTGAGAATTTTATGTCAGTTTAACCACCAAAAAGCTTAAATAGTTCCTATTCCATAGAGGGCACCATTTATGGTGCCCAATGTTAAAAAAAGATGACACAAAACACTAATGGCCACGGAAACCGTGCCGAGTAGGGTCAGATGACATCTTTTATTATTGAAGATAGGCACAAAAACATTTTGTGTCTATAAAAATTATTTGTCAGAAGCATTGTATGTGTTTTATCCTTTGTATTTACCTCCTCTAGCACACCAAGAATTAAAATTTATAAAATTGTGGTAAATAATGGTATGGAGCTGTTTATTACTATGCAATATTTTAGCCTCAAAATAAGTTAGTAATAATGCTGTTCAAATTCGTTTTTCGCGAGAGCCGAACCTTAGATCTCTCACTTACAAGTAAAGAATAATACCACTACATTATAGTACTAAGTGGCATGTTTTAGATTTACAATGAATCATTTCCAGCTGCAATGAATGTTTGTTAGATTCGTATATTTTTGAACTGCTTTTTAGATTGTTATCTTCTTACAAATTTGTGTTTTTTTATACTTGTGATATGGTTTTTGGTTTCATAGTAAGTGTTTATTTTTTTTTACGGTATTAAAAGCCTTCGTGCAAAAGTTACACTACAAATGAGTTAAGAATTATTACGGTATTTTTTTTACAAATGATAATAAGTGTTTAAGCCTTCATGCAGTGACACATAACCAACAATTGTGCCCTTAGGGTACGTGCAAAAGTTACACTACAAATGAGTTAAGAATTATAAATTCCTTTATATGACACAAATGTTAGAAATTGTGTCTAGTAAATATTAATAAATAATAAATCACTCTATAGCAAAATAATATGTTGGCACAATTATGGATTTGTGCCTGTATTCTAATATAAAACATCCACACTCCTTCACTAATTTGTGTATAGAAAATAGAAGGTTGCTTCATACACTTGTGTTTTTTTAAATTTCATCAAGTTCTACATCATTGATAGGCGACGTTGCGGAGTTAGAATTGGAGATGTTTGTTAGATTCTTATCTTTTTCAACTGTTTTATAGATTGTTATCTTCCTGTAGTTTTGTTTTGGCTACTTGATGATATGGTTTTGGCTTTATCGTAAGTGTTTATTTTCTTATTGTATAAAAAGTCCTTCATGCAGTGACACAAAACCAACAATTGTGCCCTTAGGGTCATCATTCTCCATACAAGTGTTAGTGGGTCTTTAGGCAAATGAGTTAAAAATTATAAATTCTTTTTTATGACACGACTGTTATAAATTGTGTCCAATAAATATTAATAAATAATAACAAAATAATATGTTGGCACAATTATGGATTTGTGCTTGTATTCTAGTATAAAACGTTCATACTCCTTAACTAAGTTGTCTATGGAAAATAGAAGGTTGCTTCATACACTTGCGTTTCTTTTGAATCTAATCAAGTTGTACATCATTGAGAATGGTGGACAGGCGACGTCGTGGAGTTAGAATAAGAACTGAACCTCCAACATCACATTCGTCTATTGCTTCAAACATTACAACAGCAAATTCCACAACCAATCATCCAGCTCAATGTCCACGAAGAGTGTACTAGTTATGTTGTTATTGTTGAAGAACCACACACTTATCAAGCACAAAGTCGTCCTACAAGCCTGTCTCTCCCACATATGAACTCACGAAATATGCAGAATGTTACCATTGAGATTTTAAGCAATGGGGATGAAGACAAATGATCTATTTTGTATTATGTTATATTTCACTGGTGTGTGAAAATATAATTATCTTATGCTATGCTGAACTCCACTTCGATCCTTTTATCAACTTATGTCGTATTCCAATATAATAATGTTTTCTTTCTAATTAGCCCTTGTAGATTTACTCCTAGTATATATTTTTTTGGGTTATAATTATGTTTCTCGTCCGCTTCATACCGCAGAATTCAGTGAATTCACAGCGGGAGACATTACCGGTAAACTAAGAGATAGAAGAAATGAAAAAAGAAAATAAAAAAGGAAAAAAAATGCTTGCTTTCATACTTCCCCAACGCCCATTACTAGTAAACTAAAAGAAAAAAGAAACGAGAAACCAAAAGGAAAAAAAAAAAAAAAAAACTTGCTTTCATACTTCCCCAACGTAAGGCTTCATACTTCTGCTTCACCAAATCACACACCTGGGCAAAGGAATCATAACTATAAACACAAAAATATCTTTATCCAAATCCTCGTTTTCCTCCAAATCGCACATCTGGTGTGCCTTTCTTCAGGTAATTTCTGAACGGCCGGTGCCGGAATCGCATTGAACTCTTCGTTTTCCTCCAAATCGCACATCTGGTGTGGTGTTCTTCAAGTTATTTCTGAACGGCCGGTGCCTAAATCGTACTCAAGTCCTCGTTTTCCTCCAATTTGCCCAGCTGGTGTGGCTTTTTTCAGGTATTTGATTTTTATATATGTTTTTTTTTTTGTGTTCTTATTTGGTGGCTCGCTTGGATAATCGAAAACCATGCGAGACAGATTGAATCATTTTCTGGTACTCAATTGTTTTTTGTGTTCTTAATTGTTTCTACGATTTACTGGTACTTAATTGTTTGGTGGATTTTTCTGTGGGGTCTGATATATAATAGGAATGAAACAAGAAGTAATTGAAAAATATGGGAGAGAGATTGAACCGTTTTGTTTCTACGATTTGGTTGGTACTCAATTTGTTTGGTGAAATTTTATTTATGGTCTTGAGGTAACGTCAGGGACAATGTTTAGGCCTGCGACCCTTCCCTTAGGCTGCTTATTGATTGGAAGTTCACAAAAGAAACTGTTTTGAAGCTCCCTTCCCTTAGGCTGCTTATTGATTGGAAGTTCACAAAAGAAACTGTTTTGAAGCTAACAGACTTGCATGTTAAGAGGGGTGTAATGCATAAGTGTAAGTCATGAATGTCAGCTTATCATCTTTCCAATGTTGTATTAACTGTAATGGAGCCAGCATGAAAAAAGTAAATTAGTCACCAATATGTGCTCTTTTTTTTTCACAGAACTGTGTAATTAGGAAATCTGAGATTGTAACAGAGAAACATGGAGTTTTTAGTTGCCCTTCCTACTAGATTTCTTTCGTAATTTATGTATACTCTGAATCAATTTGTTTGGTGCAATGAATACTTTGTAGTCTGATATATATATTATGAATAAAAGAACAAGTATAAGTCTTTGGCATCATATATTTGTAGGATTTCAATAGCATGATCAATTAATTCCAAGCACTCCAGCTGTTCCTCTTTCTCTTCCTTTGCTGTAACCGACGAAAGCTTAGCACCAACTTATTCTCAGTCTTGGGCCTCTTCAGTTTACTCACTACGGTATGTCAATGGCTTCTTTCCTGGTCTTTGGGAGACAAAGGCATGACTAATATTTGTATTAGCTGCACTGGAAAGAATGGGGTTGTCATTCTCATTTTCTTATAAATAGTCACATGACTAATGGGAGGATAAGGGCAAAGCTCTTATGAATGCAATTCCTCTGTCTTTTATCATCTTGCATAAAATTCAAACGATAGAAATGCACTACATAATCCAATTGCACATGTAACAACTCTCAATATGCCACCAAATAAATGATTTAATAATTAGAGCAAGAGATCAATGACAATCAAAACATTCTCCAAATTCACTTGACTAGCAATTATAGAATTTTAATACAATTTTTTCCATCTCATTAATCTAGCCACAAAACACAACGAACATGCAATTCCTTTCATTTAAATCAAACATATCACAAGAAAACGTCGTTGTCGGGGTAAAATAGGTAGAATAATTTTACGCTTATCATAGCAAACTTCAAATGGAGTTCATTCAAATGAAACAATATTCTATTCAAAGTAGCCGTTAATGAATAAGGCACTTTAATGTAGACCACATCTGCTTTTAGTTGGTTTGTGATATTTGGGATATTAAGTTGGATCTTTATGAAAGTTTTTGTTTCATTGTCTCAATTCACTAATCTTATTGTGTAATCAAATGTCTTATAATTTCATACATGGTTGTAGGTAAAGATGAACAAAGAATGGGTGCATCTGAATAGGACGACCAATGAATACTTGATTGGCAAGCGTGCATTCATCAGTAATGTTTTAGATGTTGCTGCCCTTCAAGGAAAAATTAAATGCCCCTGTCGGCGCTGTTGCAATATGTTTTATCATGATCCATTTGAGGTCGATCAACACCTCTACGTCGAGGGTGTGGATCCCCATTACATAGATACACCTTGGGTTGAACATGGTGAATAAGTGTATACGTCTGATAATATATCAAGTCCAACTACTGAAGCTTATAATGAAAGAAGCCCTGAAAATTTCATGGCAACGATGCTTCACGATGTTTTCGGTAACCACGTGCATATGGATGAGTCAGATCATGTTGGTGAATCTTCTTTTGCTTGTGACGAAACAATTGATGTGCACCAATTTGACAACATTCTACGAGAAGCAGACGGAGAATTATATCCAGGTAGTAGGAAGAAAAAGTTGGATTTTCTGGTGAAATTATATCAGTCAAAATTGTTATATGGAATGAGTGATGCTGCATTTGGTTCAGTGCTGGCAATAATAAGAAAGCATTTTCCTATGTGCGAGACTCTTCCTCCAAATTTGTACTATACAAAGAAGATTATCCGGGCTTTGGGTTTGGATTACCAGAACATAGATGCGTGTCGAAATAATTGCATGCTATTCTGGAAAGAGCATGTAAATGACATCGTTTGTGCAAAGTGTGGCGCTAGTAGATATAAGCAAAGGAAGGCAAATTCAGGAACGATCGAATGTACTAAGGTACCAAAAAAGGTTTTACGCTACTTTCCCATAGGTCCTAGACTACAACGGTTGTACATGTCTCGTTACACAGCTGAGTCAATGATATAGCATTCAGAGATTAGAACTGACGATGGTGTTTTGAGGCACCCTGCTGATTCTTTGGCTTGGAAGCATTTGGATAATACATATCCGGATTTTGCAAGGGAGTGTCGCAATGTCCGTCTTGGGCTTGCAAGCGACGGATTCAATCCGTTTGGAATGCATGGCAAACCCCACAGCACATGGCCTGTTTTAGTTGTAGTTTATAATCTTCCACCTTGGATGTGCATGAAACAACCTTATATCATGATGTCTCTTCTAATTCCAGGGAAAAAAAGTCCCGGTGATGCAATTGATGTTTTCCTGCAGCCGTTCATTGATGACTTGCGGCATTTGTGGACGACAGGTTTGCAAACATATGATACTCACCGTCAAGAAACCTTCATCATACGTGCTGCCTTGTTGTGGACTATCAATGACTTTCCTGCTTATGCCATGCTCTCAGGGTGGAGCACTAGTGGTGAGAAAGTTTGTCCGACTTGCGGTGATGACACTAATTCTTTACGGCTTAAGCATGGGAAAAAGTTTGCATTCATGGGACATAGACGATGGCTCCCGATGTCACACAGGTACCGAAGACATAAAAAAACTTTTAATGGATCTCAAGAATTTCGAAACCCCCCTAAACCAAGAACTGCCATAGATTGTTTATTGGAAGTGACGGGATTGACCTTTAGATTTGGCAAGGGTGCAAAGGCAAGTGGTCGTAAGCGGGGGTGGAATGATGATGGACACGTTGTCGGTCAGTGGACAAAAAAGACTATATTCTTTGATTTGCCTTACTGGAAGGATCTTCTACTGCGGCATAACTTGGATGTCATGCATATAGAGAGAAATGTAGCTGAAAATGTTATTGGCACTCTTTTGGAAATTGAAGGGAAGAATAAAGATGGTATTAGGGTAAGGGTTGATCTCGTAGAGTTGGGCATTAGGCATGATCTCCATCCACGGGCAGATGGTGGCCGTACAAAGCTGCCCGCGACAGAATACAATATGAAACCTGAGGAGAAAAGAATGTTGTGCCAGGTTTTGGAATCAATTAGGGTACCAGACAACTACTCTTCTAATATTAGCAACTATGTTAATATTCAAGAAAAGAAGTTTATTGGCTTGAAAAGCCACGATTATCATATGCTCCTGCAGGTATTCCTCTCTATTGCAATACGAAAAATGTTACCGAAATCGGTTGTTATAGTGTTGTTAGAGTTGAGCAGATTTTTTCGCCACCTTTGTTCAAAAACTGGAACTGAAGAATTATTCAATGGCTTGTCAAAAAGCATTGCCTTAACTCTATGCCATCTGGAGAAGTTATTTCCGCCATCATTCTTTACCGTTATGGTACACTTGATAATTCACCTTGCGGATGAAGCTACTGTTGCTGGTCCAGTCCCATACCGATGGATGTACCCCATTGAAAGGTGTCAGTTTCGTAAAACATCTACTCAGTTTAGTTTCTAAATTTAGTATTTGTTTTTCATCATTACCTTTTGCTTAAAGATTTTTTTTTTTTAACAATCAGGTATCTACATCTTCTAAAATCGTATGTGCGCAACAAGAGTCAGCCAGAAGGATGTATTGCAGTGGCTGTTAATTTAGATGAGTGTATCATTCTACTCCATGTACATGGATGACTCTGTTATTACCCGTCGCAATAGGATGGACGTAACTATGATGTTCAGCAATGTGATACACGACAAGGACTTCCTCTATTTAGTAGCCAAGGCAAACCAGCAAGCGCTATTGACACTGTTCTGCTAGAACGTCCGAGGTTTGAAATGGCTCATCGGTATGTCCTAGTAAATTGTCCTCAAATGGCAGAATACTCAAGGTACAGTTATAACAATGACATTACCTTAGTATATGTTTGATGGACTAGCTTGGATCCTGAATTGATTTATGTGTTGGTCTTGTAGGAGACATATGTCACATGTAATTTCTACTCGTGGCAGAAGAACTACTATATATGATGCAGAAAGAAAGGCTTTAGATAGTTTCCCTCAATGGTGTCGGGATAATGTACCTTATATATATTCCTATTAAGTTTCAGTATTAAATGTAGCACTCATAATGGTGTAATTCTGTAACTGCGTTTTAATTCAACGTAGGTACATATCATAGGGGCAAATGATGAGGGAGTTATTAAAGACGATATATGTGCATTGGCTGTTGGACCGATGCAGTGGGTAAACCGTTATACCGCATACATCATGAATGGAAATCGATTTAAGGTTGCTTCTGCTGATCGACATGCACAAACCCAAAACAGTGGTGTTTTTTTAGCATCTGAAGTTAGTAGTTTTGCTACTACGGTCGATAGGAATCCAAGGTATGGAGATGTGGATTATTATGGTGTTGTGACAGATATCATTGGGTTAGATTATCACAATGGTTGGAAGGTTATACTGTTTGATTGTGATTGGTTTGAGGTCAAGAGCAAAAGGTTTCGTACTAAGAAGGATGAGTTTGGGTTCACTTTGGTTAATTGTGAACATCATTTACCATCGGATGACTCATTCATACTGGGGTCACAAGCAACGCAAGTGTTTTATGTTCAAGATCCTATTGACACTGAGTGGTTTGTTGCTACAAAGACAAAGCCACGAGACGTTTACAACATGCTCGATACAGATGTAGAAGACCCCAACACAGCTCAAGATATAGAAAATACATTAGGGGATGATGATATAGTGCAAACAAGGCTAGATGTTGCAGAAATTGTTATTGCAGAACGATTATCAGACTTGTAATGATCAAGAACTTATATCTACTATGTAGCTTGTTCATGTATGAAAGATTAAATAGTGCAGGGAAATAACATGAAGACCACGCACAAGTTTTTGGTAGAATTTTTTGGCTGATCTTCATTCATCTCGGTATATTGTATTTATATAGTTTTACAGAGGGTTTACAAGCTTTGACAATTTGCATAAGGACAAATTCTACAAATCAATATTTACATAAAATCAGGGAGCTTAATAAGGCAAATGAATATGATCACGAAATCATCTATTGCACAGATGATGCCTGATGAGCATGATTGTCTCCATCTTGTCTATCAATGTATCCAATCATCTATTGGACATGAATATGTAAATACTATCTAATTAAACTATATATATGGTAGAGAATGCAACTAATCTGTGATGCAAGTAGGCAATGCAATAAATTTGTGATGCCTGTGGTTAATTTACAAACAAGAAAACAAATGATACATATGCAATTAATCTCTAATATAGGTAGAGTGTTATAATATATATATATATATGTTTATATAAACAAAAACAAAAAAAAAAAACTCTATGGTATAGGTAGATAAACACAATTAATCTTCGATACAACTTCAAAAAAAAAAAAAAACAATGGAAAGGAGAAAGAAACCCAAAAAATAAAAAATAAAAAATAAAAAAGAGGAAGAACCCAAAACACAAGATTGAGTAATGCAAAATAACACATCAAGATAAAGATATTGACAGGGAGAAACAAGATAAGAGAACTGAAACAAGAAAAGAGAAATGAACGGTTTGGGTAACGAGAAGAAAAACGGAGATTTAAATCCCTAATCCTATAATTCAGGATAAGATTAACATTAATCACAAATGAAAAAATAAACAGCAATTACTTAATTAATCAATTTAAGGGTAAATTTGGCAATCTAATACAAATAAGCTTATGTGGATAATTAATCACTGGACCTTACCCGAAAAATAAAACAAATTAAGTTGGACTATAACTAATAATGACTTATTGAACTTATATTAAGTTTCCCCTTCTCCCAATTGGATTCTCCCTCTATTTTTTAAAATTGGACTTCTCCCTCTATTATATTAAGTTCCCACCACCAAATTCAAAAACTTGGTTTGCCACAATCTGATTTAAACCCACCTCATCCCAAAATTGTGCCCACTCACTCTTAAAATATTAATTAAAAAATAGTAGCTATATTAAAGGGTTAGAAACTGGAAAGCTTCCATTCCACCATTTCTCATTCCGTCTCACCTTTACTCTCCCAAAATTATAATGATGCTCATTCCAGCTCCTCCATCCAGTCGAACCCACTCATCCATGGAGTCTATCCACCTCAAGGCTACTCCTCTGTCCAGTTCAAAGGCGCTCCTCTGTCCTCTGGCAACACACACCGACACACAAGAGGCCCAAGATACAGGTAAGGTTTCTGAATTTCAATTTTTCAATGGGTTTCTATTCTTTAGGGTTTAAGGTCAAGTAGGTTGTTTATTTTGTCGAATATGGTTTATGGTTTGAGGACAGTGGGTTTGGGATTAAGAATCTAGGATGGGTGCAGATTTTTGGGATTGCAGGTCTCATTGAAATTATGAGGGATTCCCCTACCGGTACCATCCCAGTTTTCTTTCAAATAAGTATCCCTTATAGGGAACATATAGAATAGTGTGCAAGTACATCCATCATCCCTGGATCGATCATACTCCTATTACTACGTGACCCTGTGTTTTGTTTTTGTTTTTGTTTTTTTTTTTAATTTTTACCATCCATAACGTCGGCAAGTTAAATAACTAATTACTAAGGGATAAAGAAATCGATGGGGTCAAACCTCCATCATGGTGCATAAGCATGATTGCTTTACACCACTACAATAAAACTGGATCTGCTCTACGTGACTATTAAGTGTTCAGATTCCACGGTACTCATATTCATGCCTCTTTTGGTATTTGATGTTGTGGTTCATTGAATGAATGCACAACATAAACTATAACTCTTCTAAGACACTACACATTGTGATCCAGCCGTCAATCTTAGGTCTTTCTTTGATGATCACCTCGACAAAGATCACTCAACTCAAAAGTCACATGATGGTTACAGTACATGGTGGCATCATATAGTGTGTTCATCTTTTTTCTTCTATCAATAATTGTATGTCTTAATGAAAAGATGTTGTCACTTTTATTTAAGGATAATTTATGCATGATGATAAAATGTAAATAATTTGAATCGTTATAGAACTTGTTGATGTTACCTGTATGTTCATTGGTGTAAAAAAATAGTTCTTGTTGGTGTAAATGAATAGTTCTTGTTGATTACACTTCATTTGCAATTTGCAATGTAGATGGCTAATATGATGCTTGATGATGATGCATTTTTGGCATCTATGGGAACTCAACCACACTTCCAATTTGGTGTAGTCACCGAAAATGAATCATTTGCAACCAACCAACCCCATGAGACATGTAGTCGGCATACGCAATCAAGTGGCTCTACTTCTTTGTCACCCACAACTTGAAAGAGGAATAAGGGAGTTAACAAAATACGGTGAGGCAGAGGGAGGTGCGAAAAACTAAACTTTAACAGATTTGGTCAAGCTATTTCTCCTCATGACAATGTGGCCAGAGTTGGGCGCTACATAGCAATGTTGGGTCGTGATGGTGGAATGATCCCAATTGATTCGCGTGATTGGCGCCAAATAGAATCTTCGAAACTTGATCGAGTGTGGTCATTAGTCCAGGTATTGATGCTAATTTGTAAAATTTGACTTGTTGGATGCTTACAATCTTGTGTCACAACTTCATTATTGTTTATGTAGGCCACTATAGACTGGAGAAATCCAAGAGCTGCTTGCAAGGAGGAGAAAGTCAGGGCTATAGTGGAAACGAAATTGCATGATCGTTTCAGGACATGGAGGGCAAAACTCCGTAAGTTGTATTATGTTCCCTTTGAGAACTCCGAGCAGAGGAAGCATTGCAATGATTATAGGGTAATCCAGACACAATGGCAAGCCTTGGTAGCTTATTAGGATAAAATTGAAAATAAGGTATGTAAAACTTTTCAACACTATAGTTACTATACTTCATTAAATCGTAGTTGAAACAAAATATAAGGTTCGATAAAATGAGTATTTTCCTTTATGGTGTCCTTTATTTGTTGTGATCCAGCGGAGATGTGCAACGAATGCCAAGAATCGAAAGATGTTAAAGACGAGTCACACAACTGGGACAACAACTTTTGCTCAAATATGGAATGATTATGTGAGTGGATTCTTGTACTATATATTATAATTTGATGTTGCCATGAATACTTGTTTTACATGGTACTAAAGATAGTCACTATATCTTATGATTGATAAAGATGAACATAAAGTTACAAGAATAATGCTACAGATAGTGAACATATCTCATGATTAACTCATAATCTTAGTCTTGTTTTCGTTCCTGTTATAAGTACATGGTTAAAACTTGACTTAGTTTTTGTGATTTGTTCCTCATTTTGTATCATAGGTTAGTTTAGGGATCGTAACAGGATTGATATGCATGCATATTTAATGTACTAGATCAATACAAACTGGATTGATATGCATGCATATCAATGATAACTAGATTGATATGCATATCAATACAAAAGCATTAAGTAGTCATCATGTCCCAATCCTATCAATGATAACTGGATTGATATGCATGCATATTTAATGTACTAGATCAATACAAACATCCAAATGTCTCAAAAACTATATCTCACATTTAATTTTAGTTCAAATGAGTATACATTTGACATAAACTAAAGTATTTTTTTTCTTCCAATTTTTCAGGAACAACGGTTTATTACCCTTATTGATGTTTGTGTTTATATATAGTGCACTATAGTTTTAGTCATTGTAACTGTGATTGTTTAATGATTGTGGTTTTTTTTGGGATTTTATTTGTGTCTTAGGCTGAAGAACATGATGGAAATGAACCTGATCGTGTGACTTTTTTCAAAATGACACACACAAGAGGACTTAAGCAACTCCCAATTGATGATGAATCTGCTAGAATGATGGTAATTTGTACATTTTCACTTGACCAAATTTATTTCTAGCAACCTTTAATGAAATTTTATGCATTTACGAATGATTAAGGCTTTTTCAAACAGTTGGCGTTTGAAAATCTGGAAGCGGAGGTTCGTGAGCGTGGTGATGAGGTAACAACAGAAGTTCGTAATAAGATTTATGCAGAAGTGCTGGGCCCGGAGAAGCGAAATCAAGTGCGAGGCTTTGGCCTTGGAGTTGGTTGGGCAGATGTACCAGGAATTGTTACTGAACAACGAGGTATTTCTAGGGAAGTGAAGTATCTTCGGGAAGTTTATGAAGCTCGGAAACAAGCCACTGCTGCTGCGGAAGAAAAAATGACTCAATGCATGAGGCAAATGAGAAAGCGGAAAAAATGAAAAGAGAGCAAGAAGAAAGCATACAAAGGCTTAGGGCCGAACAAGAGGAGAATTTGAGGTTAGCAAAGGTGCAAATGGCTGAGCAATTGAAAGCCATGTTGGCACATGTAGGGATCAACATTGGTTCATTTGGAGTGGGTGCTTTACAAAGTACTTTAACTCAGCAGCAAAGGTGTGGAAGCTCACACGCTCAGATTTCAACGCGTTTCGAAGGTGGAAATGACAAGAATGTGCAGTGTAGACCTCCAATTTCTAGTGCTATGATGCATGAGGACTGCCAAAGTGAGAATACTAGTTAGTTGTCATCAAGCAGCCTTGTAGATGTGTATTTTGTTTATATATTGCTGGTTTAACCATTAGTACGTTTGACTTAGGGATACAAGCTTGGATATGTTATATTTTGTTGTATATAGAGAATCCCGGTTATGTCCAGCATAGGATAACATGTATTTTTGGTTTAACATTTGGATGGGTTGTATTGTTAGGTTGCATGAATCGGTCTTAGCCGAGAACATGGGTTATGTAATATATTAACTTCACTATTTTAGTGCTAATGTTGATTTATGTTTAGTTTGTAATGGATGATTTGTAAGTTTCTAAATTTAGGTGGAAATTAGGTTCTATGAGCACCTGATGATTTCCATGTTTAAATAAAAATATCCAATTATGCCACAAATTTTTAATTGTGCTGGAGTTTTAGTGTATTTATTAAAATATAATAGTGGCACAATTTTAAAGTTGTGCCCTTGCTTTAACATTTATACAACAATCTAAGCCTTTAAAATAGCAATTGTGCCCATCTTACACCATACATTCAGTAGCCTTTATTAGAGGTGAGACACAATAAGGGTTGTATTTGTGCTTAGCTTTGGGCACAAAACATCATATTGTGTGCTATAAGTAATGGTGACGCCCATAGAGGGCACATATACAAACTTAGTTGCTGCACTATTGCTATTGGTCTATGAGCACAAATGTTGGTGCTTTTTGGCCTCAAAAGGCACATATAATTTTTTGTGTGCAGTGCTCATTTTTTTTGTAGTGGTAGCAGATACAGATGCTAGGTTTTTTGAGATTACCTTCAGGTTTTTGTTTTATTTTATTTGTTTTGTATCAAAGACAAAATGCATCAAGGTTATTTTAGGAATTAGGTGCGTGAGAAAAAAGCATTTTTATTTTTTAACTTTTAGTTGTGAGTGAGAATATAAGATGGTGTGCGGAAATAAGACTATAGGTTAACATTAGCAGCACTCTTTTTTTTTTAGAACAAAAATATATTTTACATTAAACGGAGGGGAAGTTCGGTTAAGCCACATGATGGAGCAGCTTAATTTAGTATCGAATTTGCCATTCACAAGATTCGAACCTAAAACCTCTTTATTACAAGTAAAGAAGAATACTACCAGATAGGGCTAGGCACGGGCCGGGTCGGACCTGGTGGAAAATAAAACGAGGCAGGTCGAGCCAGAGAACAGAAAAATGAAAGTTGAAACCGGACCTAACCCAGCCCGTTTAAAACGGGCTGGTTCCTAGGGGTCCCCAGGTCATTCCTGCCAGTTATGCTTCTCTTGACCTGCAACAAACAACGAACAAATGAAGCTATGAAGCTTCATGAAATTTCAAGTTTCCAGCGCCCTACCTGTATGTTTCAGCTCAAATTCTTACAAGTAACACCAAATCGTATATCCAATTAGCTACGAAATTAGCAAGAACTCAAGAAAAAAAACATACATAATAATGCAATCTTCAACCCAAATAAATAAAAAAAAAATCAATTTTGATCTAAGCGAGCTTCATACAACAGCAGGTATTACACACTAAAAATTTCAAGATGGGTCGTCATGTGGTGGTTAAAGTTGAGAGGAGCTAAGAAGGGAGCTCAACTATCTAGAATTCAGTCAGTCCGAGAGTCGGTCAGTCTGGTGGAGAGAGATCGAGAGGGAGGAGAGTCTCCGAGTTTAAGAATCGATGAAGACGATCTGGAAGAGAGAGATCAAGAGGGAAGAGAGTCCCTGAGTTTAAGAATCAATGAAGACGATTTGGGAGAGAAGGATCGAGAGGAAGGAAAGTCTCTGAGTTTAAGAATCGACGAAGACGATCGAGATTCAACGAAGACAATCTGAGGAGAAACGGAGAAACCGAGAAAGGAATTTGTAGAGAGACCCCTGTGAATGTTAGAGAAGAATTGAATGCATGTGCAAATGGTAGACCCCTGTGAATGTTAAAGAAGAATTGAATGCATGTGCAAATGGTCCGTGGCGTGGGCCCATGTAATCAGAAATTGGACTCGTCCCGCCACACCATTTATTTAGATCCACCCCGCTCCGTTTCGTGTATCAAATATAAGGCCCTGCCCTGAATCCGTCTTGCAACCGTCCTGAACCGCCCTGATCTGCGGGTCCAGCCCGTTTACCCAGCCCTTCCAAGTTACAGCACTCATCTTTTTATTCCGTAATTATATTGTTTTTTAGAACCAAACGTCTAATTTTACAAGTACAAACCGCAGGCGCTCCTGGCGGCTCCGTTGCCGCGATACACAGAGAGAGAAAAGAAGCAAAGTAAAAATGGAGGACGTAAAGAAGAGAAAGCTCGAAGATGCTTCGGGCAACGATGACGATATCTCAAGAAATTCGGAGGACCACCTTCGCTCCTTGCTCGAACCTCTTGCCAAACCCCAGCTCGTCGATCTCCTCGCTAAACTGTGCGTTAGGCATTTTAATTTTTGAATTGTCTGAATTGGGTTTTCATTAATTTCTGTGAATTTTCCAAATTTTACCCCTTTCCTGTTGATTTTGAATAATGGGTTCTTGAATTTGAATCTTGAACTCCATATTGCATGTGAGAATGCTTTGTATGGTGTACAATGGGTGTTCCCTGAGGGAATTGTGTGGCTGTGATTGACTCTCTGCATGTGGTGTTTGATTGCATGTTATATAGAGGTTCCCAATATCCTTCAATTGCAGAAGAAATTAAGGGTGTTGCTAGTGCAGATCCTGTTCATAGAAAGCTTTTCGTTCGTGGGTTGGCCTGGAACACCTCGTCCGAAACCTTGCGTGCTGTGAGTGCATTGCCTGTTGTGTTTCGCATGTCATGTTTGTCTCATAATGGCATATGGTATTGACTTAGAGATACCCAATTCGTAAAACGATTATAAATGTATAATGAGCACAAACCGTTGTTGCATTGTGCTGAACATTCATTGAAAGGCCATGTTTGTTGTTGATCAGGCATTTAGTGAGCATGGAGAGATTGAGGAAGGGGCTGTCATCTATGAAAAAGCAAGTGGGAAATCGCGTGGCTATGGTTTTATTACTTACAAGCACATGGAGTCTACTCAGTGTGCGCTCAGAGCACCTAGCAAGTTGATTGATGTAAGCATGTAACACATTGGAAGTCTAATTTCGTTTCTTCATTGAGTTTTTCTGTCCGTGAATAGTGAATATAAAGTGGAGTCTTGATCAGTTCAGTAGGCACGTTGACCGCATATTCTCATGGTGCGTATGGTAGACACACATAAGACCAAAGTAGAGACATAAGGGTAAAATGGTTTTAAAGTCTTTCGGTCTATTTTTTTAACCCTTGAACTTGATTTTCTTTCTTTTGAAACTGGAGGATAATTTTTTAGAATAAGGAATGGAATTACTTCGAATGCTTTGAATTATAGAATCCGGCTGCGGTAGCTGGTACTTGTGCAGTTGAGTACTTGTCAAACATTATTATGTTTTTTTTTTTTCTGATTTAAAGATAATTAGTGTTAAAATAAACAAAAACAGTGTTATTGCAATTCTTTGGTGGTTGGAATAAAATGTCTTTTGTTGTTGTTTGTAGGCATTTATTAGAGGATATTGGCTTAGTATGTTTTTTACGGTTCAAATTTAAGCAGTTTTTTGCTGTATAAATTTTACGGTTAGGTGGTCTTTTGTTGTTACTTGTAGGCATTTGTTTAGTAGGAAGTATTGATTTGATAGAATTTTTAAATCTTAAACATATAAGGTTATTTAAATAAATACTAATTACAAAAACTGTAATTACATATATGTTTTTAAGTAAATAAAGAGTATTATACACCAATAACAAACAAGAGATGTCTCCTAGCCATCTTTAAATGGGAGAGCTTTCTATAAAACAAAAGGAAAAATAAACTGGAAAACGTCGTAGTTTCAGAAAAACAAAGGTACAAGTGTTCTAACACATCAAGTTATACATATATAAGAGTGTGTATAAGGACACATACCATATGTTTAGTTGTTTAACGGAACCTAACAGTGAATATGATAAAGTTTAGTTTGTGTAAGTATTAAACGGGTTGATTACTAACTAACAACAATTTTTGGTTGGCCTGTTGCTATGCGTCCGTACATTTTTTAGCCCTGCTTTGCTGTCTTATTTGTTTAGTCTAGCTTGCATCTTCTAGCTAAAGTGGACTACTTGTCCCCTGTTTATTTTGTTTTTTCCAATGAAATTTTGTTTCCTATAAAAGTAGAAATAAAATTAGGCATTGCCTATATTACTCTGTGTCAACAACTAGAAGCAACGCATTTTACTTCAGATTGGTACTTCTTAAGTTACGTTTATCTAGCCATCACTTACCCTTCAAGGAACAATCTGAAGTTAGATATATGAGATAAGCATTACATTGACCTTTTTTTCGTTTCCAGGAAAAATACACAAGTTATCATACCCTGTTACTACTTTTTAATTTTTATTAGTTCTGGTTTCATCTTGTTTGATGATCACTTTTGTGAGCTTGAGCATTGCTAAAAGAAATTTGTTGGGGGTGGGCCAAGGCTAAGTTGAGAACTGAGTGGGATGTGAGTTGAGAACTGAATGATGGGATGGGTGATGGCCCTAATTGGGGCTAAGCGCCGCTCATTTGGATATGTAAAATATATGTAAATTTAGTTTTTAACATGTAATTTATCGTTATTTAAAGAAAGACTTGACTGGCTATAGTCTACTAGGCCTAGCTGGTCCAACTAATAGTTCTCCTTCTTGTTGTACCATAAGGGTTTTGTTTTCACTTCTATATTCTTTCAGCTAAAATGTCTTCTTTTTTTTTCTTTTAGGGTCGCCTTGCTGTTTGTAATCTAGCAGCTGAAGGGTTAAGTGGGACACCTGCTACACTTGATCTTACCCAGAGGAAACTCTACATTGGGGGCTTGTCTCCAAATGTCACAAGTGAGATGCTTCTCCACTTTTTTGGCAGGCATGGTGATATAGAAGAAGGTTCAGTTGCATATGATAAAGATTCAAATGAGTCACGGTATAATTAAATTTCTTTTCATATTATGTTAAAAAAATTGCGTATTTTGTCCTTGTCCTTGCCACAATATGCTGCAAACTGTGCAATGTTATTGTGTTTTTCTTTTCTTTGTAGTGGGTTTGGCTTTGTTACATACAGGACGGTGGAGGCTGCAAAGAAGGCCATAGATGATCCACAAAAGACCCTTGGGGTTAGTGATGATAAGCCTTATGCGTATTGATAGCATTTACTTCTGTTTCCTAAAAGCATGACCCTTTGATTATAGAGGTCCTGAATCAGCTTATGCCCATAATAGTTTTCTTTTGTTGGACTTGCAATATATCTTATGGTGAAAATAGTTTTCTTTGATTATAACGGTCCTGAATTTAAATTTTGAATGTGCTTTCTTTTCTTAACATGGTGTTTATCTTTTTTCTCTTATGGGTTACACCAAATCCAGTATGGTACCCGTCACTCTTTAAGAACCATTTTAGATTGTGTTACCTGTAGTGCCCCTATCATGAGGGGAAATTGTCGGAATAGTTGTGGAAGTAACAACCACATTGTGTAGGGTTGGGGTTCCAGCTCGAACACATACCTTTATAGTTTCATCGGAATGAACCTCTAAATACCCTTTGGAGTTTGAGTGTTTCTTTATGAGTTCTAAACTAATGGTAACCTACTCGAATATGTGAAGAAAATGGGAAGGAAATGGATGTTAGTTGGTAGGAGCAGATTGGACACTCCTGTAGTTCAATTCTTCTCGATTGGACACTGATGGTGTTTTAATTGTAATGTGTTGCCTATAAGTTTATTGGTTCCTATGCTTCGCATACCTTATTCGGGTTTTTTAATTTATTGTTTTCATCTTTAATATGAAACCTGATTTATCAGATTCAGTTGACATAGCTTTGTTTAATACTTTCAATGTATTTTCTATCGTGGTTATATTAGAAAGTTTTGAGATCGTGCCACTCATAAGATTTCTAGTCGCTCGCAATCAAATTCCTATAAGCACGGGGAAGCAATCTTCTAAAGTATTGTGTGGTGGTTGCAGGGGAGAAATATCATTGTGAAGCTTGCAGATTCACACAAGGGCAGAACAGTACAGACACAGCTACCCCCAGCAATGGTTCCGATGGCCTTACCTCTAGCGCCGCCCGGATATCCCCAGCCTGTAAAAGCACATGCTGGCACCACCCCTGTCGGTTACGGCTATCCTCAAACTATAGCGGCATACCCCGATTCTTCTTACCCAATTCCTCCCCAACCACCATACCCGGCACAGTCACAAATTCCCTACCCATATTACATTGGCAAACAATGATTTACGACAATTTTCAGAAGATGGTAATATTCAGGTCCGCTTTCGTTTCATTTCCGATAATACAAATACCGCAGTTGTGGTTGCATTTCTCATTCGTGGGACATCATTGGTTTGCAGGCATCTGATCTAGCCTTGCACTTCAGGAAATTGTGCGGCGAGAATGCGTTTCGGGAATCGACGGCATAGAAGCTATGGTTCTGGAATGGTGGTGTCTTACTAGAAATGTTGCTTCTTGTAATGTATAGTTGAAAACCTTACATTTTTCAACTAGAATTGTTGCTTCTTGCATAGTTTTTTTACATGTGTTGGAGTTTAAATTTAAACAATGAAATTTAATCGTAATGGAAATTGAAATTTTCAGAAGTTAAATAAAGGGAAGATATTTCTATTTCAAAATTGGAGTTTTTAAATTCTCTCTCATTGTTTTTCACTTTCTCAACGAGTAAACATCGATGCAACCTTTAAACCAATCTATGAAAGTCCGAGGTATTGAATCAGGATTTTAAGAAGTTTATATATAAGTCATGGGTCGATAGAAAACCGGGTGTGTACAATCATGACTTTAAGGGGGCGTTTGTTGCGTCGGATTATCTCGGACTGGATTAGCTTCAAGGACTAAGCTGGACTGGCTTAGACTAGACTAAACTGGACTAACTTAGTGAAGCGTTTGGTGCAGTATTGGACTAAGAAGCTGGATAATAACAAATTCTAATATTATATTATTTAATATATAAATTATTAATATTTTATTATGATCTTATCTTTTTCTTCATCTTTTCCTATCATTTCCGTCCCACTCTTTTCCTCTTCTCTCATCGTCCCACCCTCTCCCTCCTTTTTTCCTCTTAGACCTCTCAATTCATGTCTATTTCTCATTCCTGGTCAAACTCCTTATTGATTCCAGTCTCTATTTCTCTGTCCTCCCTCCCTATCTAGCTATGCGTTGTTCGAATGGGACCTCACGGCTCCAATTTTCCCGACGAGTTGCAGGTTTCCCGATGTGTTTTCCGGCCAACCCTCGTTAAATTGGATGAAGTTAGCACCGCCAAAAAATTCATCACCATCCCTTGACCGAGATCTTAGCTTTGAATACCCGAATTTGTCATGGATTTGAAGAAGCCCAAACAGGGCGAGACTTCCAGGCCATTTTCCAGCCACATTCGACCACATTTTGGCCTCGATTCAGGTAAAATCGTAATCTTATCACTCCCAGCTTCAATTTGGTATATTTTATATGAAAGTTGGTTGTGAAATGGATTTGAAAGAGAGTCGGAAAGTTAATGATTGATCTAGGTGACCAGAGATGACGAGGAGTCTGTCGGGAGTGGTCGTTGAGCATGACAAGGATGATAAAGAGAGGATAGTCTTAGTTAGTCCCATGGTTATTGGGGGGTCTCGCTAAGACCTCTTAGTGAAGGGTTTTGTCCATGCTAGTCCCCTTTAGTCTCATTAATGTTAGTCCCAGAATGGAACAAACACAGTATTGGACTAATACCTAGTCCAGTCCAGTCCAGTCCAACTTAGTGAGGGCAAACAAACGCCCCCTAAAAGAGTTTATAAATTTTTATGTATATTTAATTAGGGTTTTGATTTTATAGGATTTTGTCAGATTTTGAGGACTTGCATAGTATTTGTCTTTGAAAATTTGAAAGAATTCACCTAAATTAATACAGAGTCTACAAATTATAAATATATCGATTGTATAAAAACAAAAAAACAAAAATACTTTTTATTCAAAATGGTTATTAAGATTGACATAACTTTTTACGTTAGTTCTTGATAATGAAAAACGATAGAAGTGGTCCTTGAGTTTCTTTTGTAAATCATTTTGGTCATTCCGTGAAAAATCTTTTAATATCCTCGTTAAATTGTCACATAAACGACTACGTAACCACGTTTTTAAAGGTATTTTGTCAAACCAACCTCTTCACTTAACGAGAATAATGGAAATTTTTTTACAGAATGACCAAAATAATTTAGATGAACAAACTCAGAAACCTTTTTTTTTAATCAAATTTTATTGTCAGGACCAAAATGAAGAGTTATGTCAATCTCAGAAACCATTACGATTAAAAAGTGAAAAATAAATATAAATGTGTCACCAAATGGATCGTACAACTCACAAGATAGGGATCAAATTGTTATTGATTTTAAATTACATGGGTAGAAGGTGTAATTAATCTCAAACTCAACACCTTCTCATACGGGGTTTTCCTTGTTCTGCATTTGGATGACAACCAAAGTTCAAAAACCCTTCCCGGCGGCGATTCAAACAGAACTGAATTGGGATTACAGTTTGAATGAAGCCACTCATCAGCTTCAGTGCAGAAAACTCTGCAGCCGAAGCTCCCAAGGTAACCCTTTCGTTCCGAAAGACTTGATATTTCCATTTCATTCAGCAGAAAGTCTTGGCATTTGAGCTTCTGTAGTAATCACTAGGCTTGGAATCTCATCAAACTGGTGATGACCCATTTGAAAAAATTCAGAACAGCATCCGTTCTCAAATGGGTTTCTTCCAATTTTGATGAAAACCACCTTAGATCAACAACCCCACTTCACCCAATTGGGTATTACTTTTTCCTCAATGTTCAAAACCCTAGGTTTTACAGCACCAAAAGGGCTCCTCGTGTGACTGAAAGTCGCGAAAACCTGGATAAAGCTTTGATTGGCAATGGAAAACAGTTAAAAGAAGCGCAAGCTGCATTGCTGGATTACTTGTATTGTACTAGAAGCTTACAGTTTGGGGATGCTGAGAATATGAGTAAAAACTCCCCACATTTTCTCAGGAAGCTTCTTAACTGCGTTGATAATGAAACGGAAGTTGGTCCTTCAATTGCCCGGTTCTTGCGTTACCACCCTATCAATGAGTTTGAACCTTTCTTTGAGAGCCTGGGCTTGAATCCTTCCGAGTATGTTTCTTATCTTCCGCGGAATTTGATGTTCTTGACTGATGATGGTTTGTTGCTACATAATTACACGGTTCTGTGGCGTTATGGAATTGCACGCAATAAGATCGGAAAGATATATAGAGAAGCAGCAGAAGTCTTTCGATATGATTTTGAGGTTTTGGAATCAAAACTTCAGGCTTATGAAGAACTAGGTATCAGCCAATCTGCTTTGATTAAGTTCATTGTTGCTAGTCCTTATCTTTTAATTGGGAATGTGAATGCGGCATTTGTTGAGGTATTGGAAAGATTGAAGAGTTCTGGATTTGAAACCAGTTGGATTGTGGAGAATTTATTGGAAGAACATTCTTATAACTGGAGTCGGATGCTTGAAGTTCTACATTTGTTTAGTGAGATGGGCTGCAGCAATGAGCAATTGGGTCAACTAATTGGTGGGCACGCAGATATTTTATTTGAGGCTTCAGGGGAAACAACATTTTCATTAATTGGGTTCTTACTGAAATTTGGATCCACAATGAGCGAGATATATTCAGTGTTTCTACGGTTTCCAGAAATTCAAGTTATGAAATATTTCTTGAATTTGAGAAAATGCATTTTGGTCTTTAATGAGATTGAGATGGAGGCTGCAGATATTGGGAAGATTATCCGTTCTCATCCCCTGTTACTGGGTTCATGTTCTATGAAAAGAACTAACAGCTTACTTGCTTACTTGAAAGTCGGAAAGAAGCGCCTGTCGAGGTACATACAGGAGAATCCAGAAGAATTAAAAAATTGGGTTTTGGGTAGAAGAGTTGTGCCACTTCCAAATGTCAGAGGGGACAACGCTCAGAAGACTCAGTTCTTGTTAGACATAGGCTTTGTAGAGAACTCAGACAAAATGAAGAACGCACTAAAGGTATTTCGAGGAAAAGGAACGGAGCTCAAAGAAAGATTCGATTGCATTGTCAATGCTGGTTTGACAAGTGAGGATGTCTGTGAAATGATTAAGGTATCCCCGCAAATACTTAACCAGAGAAAGGATGTGTTAGAAATGAAGATTGATTTTCTTGTAAATCATTTGGGTTATCCTGTGTCATCTTTGGTGGACTTTCCGTCTTTTCTTGCCTACAGAATTAAAAGGGTCAATCTTAGGGTATCGATGTACAATTGGCTCAAGGGTCAAGGAACAGCAGACTCTAAGCGTGCCTTGGGCACCATTATTGCAATGTCAGATGCTAAGTTTTTAAGGCTATATGTAAATCCTCATCCTACTGGTCCGAAAGTTTGGGAAGATTTCAAGAGTAAAATTTATTCCTCATAATAAAAAAGTCTTTTCTTCTACTATTAAGGTTCCGGAATCTACATTGCTTCGCGATCCCAACTCAGCGCTAAGGTACTAACATACTAATTCCTTTTTCCTTTACGTGTGAGATTTTTATTGAGCATTAACAGTACTCAGGTTATATGCTTTTTTGTATTAGTCATCCGTGTTTTAAGTGTAATGCGAAATGTTTTAAAGTTGCATCGGACCAAAACCAATTTGGAAAGGGTAGAGTTCCAACGATTTTATGTATATCTAAGGCAAGGTCGTGGATAAATTGTTATTGGGGTGCAATGTTAAACCCGTAGTAGGTTACAGAAAACTGATTGGCAGTAAGTGTATATGTTCGGCATTTTATACATGTTCTGTTTAGATGACATATGAGAATATTAAATCGAATCCATCATGTCTGCACTTTGCAGTGATGTAATGGTTTATAATATCATCTTCAGTATAATGGTATTCTTCTTTTCGATTTGGTTAAGTTTTGAGTATCAATTTATCTCCGAAGAAGAAGAAGACGACGAAGATGACTGATACCTCCTCACTGCTTTCGTCGTCTTCTTTTTCGATATTAATTGAATCCATCATGTCTGCACTTTGCGGCAACGAAATGGTTTATAATATCATCTATAGCATAATGGTATTCGTCTTTTTGTTTTGGTTAAGTTTTGAGTATCAAGTTTCTCCGAAGAAGAAGAAGAAGACGACGATGAAGACTGATACATCACTGCTTTCATACTCTTGTTGTAACAGAGGATGGAGGACGTACTCCCCTACATTATATAATATGTACAGCCAAATTGTTTTTTTAGCTTTGCAGAGATGACGCCTGGGCAGGCGGTGCCGCGTCTCTTTTCTTGTAAACCCCTGCAAGGCTTGTCTTGTTTATGCTTGCTGTTTACCTTGTGTTGGCTTCTGTTTGTTTGGCTTCTTAGCCCTGGCTCTGTTGTACCAGTTTTCCAAAAAAAAAAAAAAACAAAAAAATACTGCTATGGAACAATTGAATTAAAGAAGACCAAGTCACAACAAACAATTAAACAATTATGCATACATAATCATGATTTAAACAAAATAAATAAACTAATAATATGGCCTAGTGCTATAATTCTTTATTTGTAAACAAAAGATCTCATATTCAACTTACATAAACGGCGAGAAAAATTGGTCTTTTCCAAGAAATGACGTCGAGACAATTTTTTGACTTTCCTTCTCTATAATCTTGTGTTTGATAAATAGAGTATTTTTGTTAAATTCTTAAGCCCAAAATTTTGGATTCTCAAGATCCAAATAGATGTCATTTTTTTTGTACAATACAAAGCGATGATCTACCCTAGCTTGCACTAAAGAGGATGGAGTTTGAACTCGGGGCTCAATGTGTTGATGATAAAAACTTTAATCATCAAGATAATTCATCACTTGCCAAATTGATGTCATACACAAGCATAAGATCAACACCAAAAGACTAACAGATGATCATGTTCCCTAAACCACCAAAGTAATCCATCACTTGCCAAATCAATGCATACACAAGCATAAGATCAACACCAAAAGACTAACAGATGATCATGTTCCTTAAATGCTGAAAATCATGAAAGTTCAACAATAAAATGACATTATTTTCTTACCCAAAAACACCTGAATTATGGCGCTAGACCATTTGATGAGAAAAACTTATGCAAGTTTGAAAAGAAGAGATCCAAAAAGTTCTTCTTCCTTACTTATATGATACTGTTTTCATACAGTAGACATTTAACCGTTGATGCATTGTGAGTCTCACATGCATCAACGGTCAGAAATTTATACAATTCAGCGTAACATATCTTTTATCACAAGTTACACACTCTCATACATTAAAAACTTAAAAGAATAATTATTAATGACTAAAATGTGTGTCAAGAAAAATAATATATATATTTTTTTATCATCATATGGTATAACAAAAGAAAACTCTCAAGCAAATGTGCTTATGCAAGTGTGACCATAAAAGAGATGGCAACTCTGAGCACCCCACTCATCTCTCTGCCACGTCACCCAAACCCTTCGTCCCCCACAACGGTCAATAACGACCTTCGCTCCTCAAGCCTAGGGCTGGAAAAAAATCCCAAAAATCCCAAACCAAACCGAAAAAATCCCGATCCCAAACCAAAAAAATCCCAAACCAAAATTCCCGAAATTTTCGGTATGTAATCCCGAACCAAACCGAAATTTTCGGTATGGGATTCGGTATTCCATCTCCATTTTTTCGGTATTCCCATACCGAATTGAAATAAATATTATATATATATAATTTTTTTTATTATAAGAGAATTATTTCAACCGTTCATTGTTTTAGATTTAATCTGTATATATATATATATATATATATATATATATATATATACAATTACCAACAAGAAGGGAGCAACCACAAACATCAACAAGATCAAGGGGACGAAGGGGCCGAAGAGGCCAACAATATTTATAGACTTTAAGCTTTGCTTTTTAGCTTTTGGTTTGTAACTTAATTATTGAAACTTTGGCTCATAACTAATTTTTTTGATTTTGGGTTTGTTACTTTATTTATAAACCTTGGCTTGTAACTACTATTTTTGCTTTTGAGTTTGTTACTTTATTTATTACTTTATAATATGTCAAATTTTAGCCCAAAAACATAATATGTCAAATTTTAGTCCAAAAGCCCAAAAACATTTCGGGATTCCCGATTTGTCCCGAAATCCCGAAATTATTTCGGGATTCCCGAAAATTGGGATTCCCGAAAATTTGGTTTGGGATTGGGATTGAATTTGGGATTCCCAAAAATTTCGGTTTGGAAATCGGGACAATGGTTTCGGTATGGGATCCCATACCGAACCACCCCTACTCAAGCCACACAGCAGTTATACCACAAATTGAGCAATGCACCAACATAGCTCAGCTGAAGCAAGTCCATGCCCAGATGCTCCGTACAGGCCTATTCTTTGACCCCTACTCGACCAGCAAGCTCATCAGCGCCTGCTCTCTCTCCTCGTTCTCGAGCATCGACTATGCTCGCCAAGTGTTCGATCAAATTCCCCACCCAAATCTCTACACTTGGAACACCCTCATTCGGGCTTACGCATCGAGCGCAGACCCGGTTGAGAGCATTTTCGTATTTCTGGACATGCTTTATGGGTGTTCGGAGTGTCCTAGTAAGTATACTTACCCTTTTGTGATTAAGGCGGCTTCGGAGCTACGAGCTTTGCTTACCGGAAGAGCTGTTCATGGAATGGCGATAAAGTCATCGCTTGGTTTGGATATTTACATTCTTAATTCGCTTGTGCATTTTTATGGAACTTGCGGGGATTTGGATTTGGCGCGTAGGGTTTTTGTGAAGACTCCAAAGAAAGATGTTGTGTCTTGGAATTCTGTCATCACGGTTTTTGCGCAGGGGAATTGTCCTGAGGAGGCGTTGGAGTTGTTTAAGGAAATGGAGGAAGAGAATGTGGAGCCCAATGATGTGACAATGGTTGGCGTGTTGTCGGCTTGTGGGCAGAAGGTGGATTTGGAGTTTGGGAGGTGGGTTTGTTTGTATATTGCAAGGAATGGAATTACTGAGAACTTGACTTTGAATAATGCTGTGCTTGATATGTATGTGAAATGTGGGAGCGTTGAAGAGGCAAAAATATTGTTTGATAGGATGCCGGAGAAGGATATTGTCTCATGGACTACTATGCTTGATGGGTATGCTCAGTCGGGGAATTATGATAAGGCTTGGCGGATTTTTGATGCGATGCCTAGTCAAGATATTGCTGCGTGGAATGTACTCATCTCTTCTTATGAACAAAGTGATAAGCCGAAGGAGGCTTTGGCTGTTTTCAATGAGTTGCAGAAAAGCAAGAGTCCGATACCTGATGGAGTCACTCTAGTTAATACTCTAGCAGCCTGTTCTCAACTGGGAGCGATTGATCTTGGTGGGCGGATACATGTTTACATGAAGAAGCAGGGAATTAAGATGAATTGTCACCTCACAACATCACTTATTGACATGTATGCAATGTGTGGAGATCTAGATAAGGCACTTGAGGTATTTAATTCGGTTGAGAGGAGAGATGTGTTCGTTTGGAGTGCCATGATTTCTGGTTTTGCGATGCATGGGCAAGGGAGGGATGCACTGGATATTTTCTCAAAAATGCTAGAAGCTAAGGTGAACCCAAATGCTGTGACATTTACCAACCTCTTATGCGCTTGTAGCCACGCAGGTTTGGTGGACGAGGGTAGAATGTTTTTCTATCAAATGGAGCCAGCTTACGGTGTTGTGCCTGGAGTAAAGCACTATGCCTGCATGGTCGATATTCTTGGTCGTTCAGGCAATCTGGAGGAAGCTGTAGAACTGATAGAGAAAATGAAAATACCTCCTACTGCTTCTGTATGCGGTGCTCTTCTTGGGGCCTGTGGACGTAATGGGAGTTTTGAGCTTGCTGAAAAGGCTTGTAGCCATATGCTTGAGCTGGATCCCAGAAACCATGGACATTATGTTCTCTTATCAAATATATATGCTAAAACAGGGAAATGGGAAGAAGTGTCCGGGTTAAGGAAGCTTGTGCAAGATTTGGGAATAAAGAAAGAACGAGGCTGTAGCTCAATCGAAGCCAACGGTAGTGTTCATGAATTTCTTGTTGGTGATAACTTTCACCCTATGTGCAAAGAAATCTATTCAAAGTTGGATGAGATAGCAGGGAGATTGAAGTTGGTGGGGTATGTGCCAAACAAATCACATCTACTACATTTTTTGGAGGAAGAAGACATGAAGGATCATGCCCTAATCCTTCACAGTGAGAAATTAGCAATCGCCTTTGGGCTTATTAGCTTGAGTCCTTCTCAACCAATTCAGGTTGTGAAGAATCTTTGTGTTTGTGGAGACTGCCACACAGTTGCTAAGCTCATATCGAAGCTTTATGGTAGGGTGATATTGCTGAGAGATCGATATCGTTTTCATCATTTCAAAGATGGGCACTGCTCATGTAATGACTACTGGTGAAAATGTAAGGTTTTTGCTAAACGCTAAACCCCATAACCCCACAAAACGATCTAAATCGTTTATTCTGTGGCTCTATTATTTGCATAGACCTAGCAACATATTGTAATTCGTATAATCACAGAGCCATCATATAAGTAGAAGTGTCATTTTGTTGACCAGACCCTCCGCTCTATTGTACTTAAACAATTTCCCCCTTGTTTGCTTATTAACTTATTATTTTTCAACCATTGAAGATTTCAAACAATAGTGTTATAGCAAAACATAAGAATAGATATCAAACTGGTTAGCTATGACTGCATCACTTGGGCATTGCAAATTTTACCTTGACATTCATTGTGGAAGGATAAACGTCATAAACTATCCTCATTGCTCTGAAAACTTATCTCCTCATTTCGACATCTGTCTAGCTTGGGTTTCAGTGTTGCTTGTGGTTGTGGCAATTTTCCCAGAGTCTCTTTGATTAGGTTTTGCTGCAGGAGGATAACTTTTTGAGATACTGAAACTTTGAATGACTTTCAGCTATTATCCGGTAAAATTACTTTCCAACTATTTCCTTTCTATTATTGAAACTGGTGGCCTTTAATTGCCAAAATAAATTGAAGAGTTCGTAATAAAACTGATATTAAACTTTTGAAAGGTGAATACTTCTTCAGATTCCTTGTGTGCATTGCTCATTGTGTTTTGTATGTCATGCTTGTCTCACAATCGCATACCAAGTTGATTCAAGAAACCCACTTCGTCAAACAAGTATATGGTGCCAAAATAGAGTTAATTTCTTGATATTTTCATCTCCCAATCGGAGGATTTATATAGGAATACAAGCAATGATGATCAGGTATGAAACCAGTACAAGAAGTCATAAAAAACTGCTATGAAACTACTGCCTATATCTAAATTTACTGCTTACAACTACTCTATTAATTACAATGGATTTCATGTCTGATTTCCTAATTCTTTAGTCAACAATGGATGCTTCAGTTAACACTTTAGTCAACAATGGCTGCTTCGGTTAACACTCCCCCTCAAGTTGGTGCATAAATATCTCGAATGCCCAACTTGCTGAGTGAAAGATGGAAAATCCTACTTGACACTGCCTTTGTTAAAATATCTGCTAGCTGGTCATCACTCTTCACGTAAGGCAAGTTAATGGTACCATCAATCAACCTTTCCTTAATAAAGTGCCTATCCACTTCAACATGTTTGGTACGATCATGTTGAACTGGATTATGAGCAATGCTAATGGCGACTTTGTTATCACAATAAAGATTTGATGGCTTTGTAGAATTGAAACCCAATTCTCTCAACAAAATCTTGAGCCATAACAATTCTTGCACGCTGTGTGCCATACCTCTAAATTCAGCTTCAGCACTGGATCTAGCCACTACATGTTGCTTCTTACTGCGCCAAGTAACTAGATTTCCTCCAACAAATGTAAAGTATCCAGAAGTCGATCTGCGATCAATTACTGACCCAGCCCAATCTGCATCAGTGTATCCTTTAACTTCTTGATGTCCATGATTGGAAAACATCAAGCCTTTTCCAGGAGCATACTTCAAATACCTGAGAATGCGTTGTACAGCATCCATGTGGGCTTCACTTGGCCTATGCATAAATTGACTCACCACACTTACAGCATAGGCTATGTCAGGTCGTGTATGAGACAAATAAATCAACCTCCCAACTAATCTTTGGTATCTTTCCTTGTTAGCCGAAACTTGATCAGGATAGTCTCCTAATCTATGGTTTTGCTCAATTGGTGTGTCTGCAGGTTTACAAGCTAACATCCCAGTCTCAGTTAATAAGTCTATAACATATTTCTTTTGAGAAAGAAAAATGCCATGCTTTGATCTTGCAACTTCAATACCCAAGAAATATTTCAAAGTACCCAAGTCCTTCATTTCAAATTCCTTGGCTAGATACATTTGAAGTTTTTGAATTTCCTCGACGTCATCACCTGTAACCACCATATCATCCACATAAACAATTAAGGTTGTAAGTTTACCTTTATCATGCTTAAGAAATAAGGTATGGTCAGCCTGAGTTTGCTTGAACCCATAATTTCTCATCGATTGAGCGAACCTGCCAAACCATGCCCTTGGTGATTGCTTCAATCCATACAAGGACTTTCTCAACCTGCATACTTTGCCAATATCGCAAGTGGTAGTGAATCCAGGAGGAAGATCCATGTATACCTCTTCATCCAAGTCTCCATGTAAAAATGCGTTTTTTACATCAAACTGTCGTAGAGGCCACCATAGATTTGCTGCCAATGACATAAGAACCCTAATAGTGTTGATCTTTGCTACCGGCGCAAATGTCTCTTGATAATCAATGCCATAGGTTTGAGTATAACCTTTGGCTACCAATCTGGCCTTGTACCTCTCCACTGAACCATCAGCTTTATGCTTTACTGTGAACACCCATCTACACCCAATAGGTTTCTTGCCTTCAGGAAGTTTAACCAGTTCCCAAGTGGAGTTTTTTCGCAGAGCTTCCATCTCTTCAATCATAGCTTTTTTCCATTTTGGATTTTTAAGAGCATCCTGTAACTTATTAGGAATTGAGACTGATGACAATTCGTTTGCAAAAGCTATATAAGAGTCTGACAAGCGATGAGATGAAACAAAATTAGATATAGGATATTGAATACCCTTTGTAGAAGAATGACCATAACGAACAGGGGGTATCCCTCGATTTTCTCGAATAGGATAACGAGAACCAGACTCATGATGTGGTTCATTTGGATCAGCACTTAATGAAATCTCATGATTGGACTCATCAAATATAGTAGGCTGAAGAGAAGGAGAATGAGTGGTTACCTCAGGATAATTCGTATGAGTAGCAGCTGATTGGTCAGAGAGTTGGTCAATGAGGGGATTTATCTGTGGGTGGTCTATCTCATCAGCAACTTTTTCTTTTTCTTTTCCTTTATCTCCCCTTTTTCTTGTCCTCTCATATACCTTCAATATTTTTCCACTCTTTGCCTCATCATTAGGCAAATTTGGACCATCACCGGCATCAGACAAGTGTTCATCCGAAAAATGCATACCACCAATGTCAAGTGGCAACTGCTCTTCCTCCTTACTCCTCATCTCCCCCTGAAGAGAAGTGGTCGAATCTCCCTCTGAAAAATAAGCTCTTGTTCCTGAAAGGTAACATCCATAGAGACAAAAAATTTCCCATTGGGAGGATAGTAACATCGATACCCTTTCTGAGTAGCAGAATAGCCAATAAACATACATTTGATGGCTCGAGGATCCAACTTATCACGATTTTGCATGTGGACATGAACATAGCAGACACAACCAAACACTTTTGGAGGAATATGAAGGAGTGAAGGAAGAGAATGATACTGGGAAAGGGTTTGGATAGGTGTTTGAAATTGGAGAACACGTGATGGCATGTGATTGATAAGAAAAACAGCTGTGTGAATGGCATCACCCCAAAAACGTTTAGGAACATGCATAGCAAAACATAAAGATCAAGCCACATCCAAGAGGTGACGATTTTTACGTTCTGCTATACCGTTCTGTTGAGGAGTATATGGACAAGATGTTTGATGAATGATACCTTCTTGTTGAAAAAATGTTCCAAGTCCATAATTCAAATACTCTTTCCCATTGTCAGATCGAACAAATTGAATTTTAGCATTAAATTGGGTTTGAATCATTTGATGAAAGATTGGAAAAACAGACATAACCTCACTCTTACTTTTTAGTAAGTATACCCAAGAAACTCGAGTGTAGTCATCAATGAAAGAGACAAAGTATTTAGCACCAGTATAAGTAGGAATATGAAATGGTCCCCAAACATCAGAATGAATAAGAGAGAAAGGAACATCACTTTTATTGGAGCTTAAAGGAAATGAGACACGATGATTTTAGAAAAGATGCAAGTTTCACAATGGAAATTAGAAACCTTGACTTTAGAAAATAAAGAAGGGAATAGATATTGCAGGTACTGAAAGGAAGGATGTCCCAATCTTTTGTGCCATAACCAAATTTTTTCAGAAGCTTCAAATTGTTTAGCTTCCACTTGACAACTGTAACTTGTCTTCTCACAATCTGGTGGTAAGTCCAAGTAGTATAGACCTCCCCTCTCTCTACCATGACCAATCAACGCTTTCGTTCGAATATCCTGAAACCAACAATGAGTAGGAGAAAAGATGGCAAGACAGTTTAGTTGATTTGTAAGTTTACCAATGGAAAGCAAATTGTGAGAAAGATTAGGAACATGTAAAACAGATGAGAGAGATAGGCATGGTGTTAATGAGATGGAGCCTGCTCCAAGCACTGGAGTGGAAATACCATTAGCAACTTTAACGGTATTTAAAGGTGGAGTAGTGTGAGAAGCAAACCATGAAGAGTTATTGGTCATATGGTCAGAAGCCCCCGAATCAATGATCCAAGGTTTATTTGGAACACCAAATGTGGTGTTCAAGGCAAAACCAAAGTTACCTGCGTCGACTAAGGAAGTGGAAGCAGTAGTAGGAGAAACTGAGTGAGCGGATTGATCTACTCGAGGCACGGAAGGCGTTGGTGTAGACAGGTGTGCTTGTGATCCAACAATGCTCTTCTTTTGATTTTCTTTCTTTTGAACCCACTAATTAGGATATCTATGCAACTTAAAACAAGTGTCTCTAGTATGCTTATCCTTGTCACAATAAGTACACTTCCTTGTATCAGTAACTTTAGATCCACCTGATCGAGAATTCGAGACTCCACGGGGAAATCGAGACGGAGCAGCTACCATGGCTGATCCTTCCACTTGTGGGCCAACCAACATAATGGTTTGCCTACTTGCTTCAGCATTCACAAGAGCATAAGCAGCACGAACAGATGGCAAAGGTGTTTGAGTCAAAACTTGACTGCGAACATGATCTAAATGAGGATCAAGGCCAGCCAGAAAATCATACAATCTTTCTTCTGAAATTTTTGTCTCTCGAGCAGCGACATCATCAGCACATTTCAATTTTCCAAGACGTAAGAAATCTATTTCTTGCCATGTTTGCTGAAGTTTACCATAATATGCAGATAAAGGCTCACCATTCTGGCGAGTCGCCAGTGCTTGACGGCGAAGTTCATATAATTTTGATGCATCTTTTTCAATTGAGTAAGTTTGGGTAACAGCATCCCAAACATCTTTTGCAGTAGAGAGCCGGAGAAAAATGGCCCGCAAATCTCTAGTCATGGAGTTGAGAAGCCAAGATTGAACCATGGCATTCTCTTCCTCCCATATAGCATACGATGCATCGGCTTCTGCTGGTGCCTTCTTTTTTCCACTGACATAAGACCATTTGCCTCTGCCAGTGATGTAGATGCGGACACTTTGGGACCACGAGGAATAGTTGGACCCATCCAACTTGTCTGGGGTGATATGCAGAGACATATCATTTTGTGTAACAGCAGCTGAAACAATGGTCTTGGAGTCACCCATTACTACTGCAACGAATTCTCTTTATTGAAACAATAGAGAGTCAGTCTCACTGAGAGAGATGCAGGAACAAATGCAAGGAGGAAGAGGCAATGGCACGGGTTTGTTGAGTGATTCCAACGGGTATGGGGTAGTATTTAAATTTTTTTTGTTTTTTGGAAAGTTTTATGGGTTCGTGGAGATATTGCAAATGGACAGAAGATGGGTAGAGATGCAGCGGAATGTATATGGTTAACAAGCTCAATATGGGTAGTGATGTTGGCAGATATGGCCAAAGAGAGATTGGATTCGTACGAAAGTATAAGGCCTGCTATTCTGCAGGTCTTATAGGGTAGATGGCAGTAGTGCCAGTAGGTTAATCAGAATAGAAACTCCTTTTTTGGATCAAAATGACTCTGATACCATGCCAAAATAGAGTTAATTTCTTGATATTTTCATCTCCCAATCGGAGGATTTATATAGGAATACAAGCAATGATGATCAGGTATGAAACCAGTACAAGAAGTCATAAAAAACTGCTATGAAACTACTGCCTATATCTAAATTTACTGCTTACAACTACTCTATTAATTACAATGGATTTCATGTCTGATTTTCTAATTCTTTAGTCAACAATGGCTGCTTCAGTTAACACTTTAGTCAACAATGGCTGCTTCAGTTAACATATGGCCACGAAGCCTTGTTGTATTGCACTCAGCGTTCATTGTGTGCATTCCTCATTTTGCAGTGATATTACCAGAGTCGTTTTAGTTAGGTTTTTCTGCATCAGGTTAACTATAGAAGTAACGTGCAAGTTTGAATGATTTTGATCTGTTATCAGTTTACAACTCATTTTATTATTGAAACTCTTGGCCTTTAACTGCCCTCGTGAAACTGACATGAAACTGATGACAAGGTGAAACAGGAACCTGCATAAGTGGCTTGTGTCATGCTTGATATAACTTGCCAGGATATGATGGTTTGATTGATGGTCTCTGCATAAAACCAAGAACCCATTCTATTTATAAAGTATGGATGAAGGATAATCGTAACTAGGATTTCTTTTATAATGATAATCATGATTATGTTAGATACACTGATGTTGTGTTTGGATTGATTGGTGTCTTATCTAAAATTGTTTAGCAACAGTTTACGGATGTCAGCATCCTATGCTATTGAAGTTCAGATAATATGATTATTGAAAGCGTGTATTTTGTTTCCATTTTACGAAGATCTCCTAAACTTAATCAAAATTACAATATTGCTAAGTTCCGAGAACTTGAAGGCAAATCTATGGAATACAGGTGCAGTCTTTCAGGGTTTGAATGACAAATTGAAACCCTAGTGCTTTGGTATGAAGCTGGAGGAGTTCTTGTTCCTGCACAGCTCGAAATCCTTGTACAGCGGACAACATTCATGTAAGTTTGTGACAAAACAAGCTCTCCGGAAAAGTCCAGTTGTTGGTTTGTTGCTTATCAGCATCTCTGGTTCTGTGACTGAAAATACATACCAGGACCGCTCGAGGAATTCGAATCCAATGTGTTATTAATTCTCTTTTCTTTTTATTATGTAATGAATTCCATGATCTCTTATGAATAAAATAAAACCGTTCGAGATCTTGACTCGAGAAAAAAAGAAGGAAAATAAAATTTGTTTTTAAACTTGGTGCATTGGTTTGGAAGATGTGGATCATATGTGGGATGGGGTTTGTAGTTTTGGAATATGAAAATTGTTGTACTTCTCAGAATCAATGGTAGCAGTCCACCCGTTAGGACAGAAGGATTTTTCAAATGACGGTAATCCCAGCCTGCTGGCCTCCGCCATTGTTTTCCGTTGCAAGGAGAATCCTGCCGATGACACAAAGCCCGTAGTGGGCCTCCTCGGCACGGGCTGTAGCCACCGCAAGCACAACCACAACTGCCAACAACTTCCACATTGTTGCTTCGGTTGTGGGTCTCATGGGGCATGGGACAAGTTTATATTGGACTGATATTGATTACCTACTTTCCACATTTTTATTTTTTATTTTTGTCAAACGATAGATTTTGTAATTAGATGTTAGATTAAACACTAACGGGGTTTTAACCCACACTGTCATGTAAGGGCTCAACGCATTTTCACCACTGTGGTAAAGGGCAACTTGCCCACATAATTAATTCACACATATTTAATTCACAAAAAAACCATACAAATGCTATTCAGATCTCTTCTCACGTTATGATGTGGATTATTAAAAAGATATGGTTTGCTACGTTTTAGTTAATTCGATTAATTAATTGCATAATCTAAACCATGACCAAGAGGAAAGGTTTCGAACCCAAGATGTAGTGCAATAACATGGGAGGTCCTATCTACCTAGACAATTTTCCACTTGCAATATACTTGTATTCATAAGTAAAGACGCCTGTGACTAAATATTTACAGTAGGATATTTGTCGGTAGACGGTAGTAATAACAATAGAAGAATTTATGTTTTTGTTAAAATGAAAAAAGGGATTAGCTAGTGGTTTCGACACAGTAGTCCATCCTTTCGAAGACCGAGAAAACTTATAGAGGCATTTCAGTCTTCCCCTGATCACCGTAATAGAATTTATGTTGATGGTAACAAATTCGTTAGTTTCTGCCATTAGTTATTATATACGTACAATTACCTCTGTAATTAAACTTTTGTGATTTTCTTTCTCATCGTAATATTTTTTATATATATAGAAATTATTTTTTTTTAGTCATCATTAAGTTACTAACATGTGACGCACACTTAGAATGACAATAATCCTATATTGGGGTGTTTATAAGAATGAAAATGCTAGAGAGATCACATTTTGTAGATCACATCTAAACTATTGCACTAATAAAGGTGAGACCTACTTTAATTGGGGACCCCACTTCTATTAGAGAGATGACTTCGATTGAACAACAAAATGTGGATTCTCTAGCATCATCCTTATAAGAAAGAGAAGCAATTTTCACACATACACTTTTTCGCTTTTTGCACACCCCACCTTTGTAGCCACCAAATTAAATAAACTAGACAAAATCTATGTTTAAAATTAAAAAAGATGTATCTTATAAATAAAGCCAACAACCCAATGAACAATATTTTTTTGGGTCACAAGCTTCACTAAAAAAAATCTTATATATAAAGCCAACAGCCCAATGAACAGTATTTTTTGGATAGAAATGCCTCTCAAACAAAAAACTTCAAAAGCAATCCAAAATAATGCAGGGGTATTTTCGTCATATAAACAATGTTTTTTTAAATAATTAATTCTTTTTGTACAATATTTTTGGTACAGTTTTTTTTTAATCTTTATTTTATATTATTTTTTGTATAATTAGTACTCCGCAATAGGCTAGTAATAATGTAATTTGATCAATTATTTATTAAATATTATTTTCTCTATTTTTAAACATGTTCAAAACATCTTAAGAGGCACGTAATGCCGGTTATAAAAAAAAGTATTTCGCACGAGCATAATAATGTGATTCAATTAGTTGTCAAATGATTGTTTTTTTTTCTTTTTTTCGAACAAATGATATTATCTACACTAAGGAGAGGGTGTGACATCTCACATCGCCCAGGGAAGTGATCCTTATATGTATATTCACATCCCTACCTAACACAAGGCCTTTTGGGAGCTCACTGGCTTCGGGTTCTATCGGAACTCCGAAGTTAAGCAAGAAGGGGGTTAGAGCAATCCCATGATGGGTGACCCACTAGGAAGTTGCTCGTGAGTTCCCAAAAACAAAACCGTGAGGGAATGGTAAGCCCAAAGTGAACAATATCGTGCTATGGTGGTGGAGCGGGCTAAGGGAAGTGGTCCCGCCCGGGCCGGGATGTGACAATTTGGTATCAGAGCCTAACCCTGGTCGTGGTGTGCCGACGAGGACGTCGGGCCCCTAAGGAGGGTGGATTATGACATCCCACATCGCCTAGGGGAGTGATCCTTAAATGTATATTTCCATCTCTACCTAACACGAGACCTTTTGGGAGCTCATTGGCTTCGGGTTCAGTATGAACTCCGAAGTTAAGTAAGAAGGAGGCTTGAGCAATCTCATGATGGGTGACCCACTAGGAAGTTGCTCGTGAGTTCCCAAAAACAAAACCGTGAGGGAATGGTAAGCCCAAAGCGGACAATATCGTGCTACGATGGTGGAGCGGGCCCTAGAAATGATCCGTCCCAGGCGGGGATGTGACAATTTGGTATCAGTGCCTAACCCTGGCCGTGGTGTGCCGACAAGGACGTCGGGCCCCTAAAGGGGGTGGATTGTGACATCTCACATCGCCCAGGAAAGTGATCCTTATATGTATATTCTCATCCCTACCTAACACGAGGCCTTTTGGGAGCTCACTGGCTTCGGGTTCTATCGAAACTCCGAAGTTAAGCGAGAAGGGGGCTAGAGCAATCCCATGATGGGTGACCCATTGGGAAGTTGCTCGTGAGTTCCCAAAAACAAAACTGTGAGGGAATGGTAAGCCCAAAGCGGACAATATCATGCTACGGTGGTGGAGCGAGCTCGGGAAGTGATCCGCCCCAGGCCGGGATGTGACAGAGGGGGGTGAGCTTAGCCTCACAATGGGCTGGCAATATTATAATTCAAACAGTTGTTTATTAAATATTATTTTCTCTATTTTGAATACGTTCAAAACATCTTAAGAAACGCGTAGTGCCGGTGATAAAAAATGTTGTTCACATGTGCATAATAATGTGATTCAATTAGTTGTCAAATGATTTTTTTTTCTTCGAACAAACGATATTATCTACACTAAGTGGAAGAGGGTGGGCTTAGCCTCACAATGGGCTAGCAATAATATGATTCAATTAGTTGTTTATTAAATATTATTTTCTCTATTTTTAGTACTGATTTGGTACTGAGATGTTTTTATAAAAAATGGGTTTAAAAAAAATGGAACTTTAACGAAAAGTTATTGGTATTGTTCACTTTAACGAAAAACCACATTTTTACACTAAAAAAATCCCGGTACTATTCACTTTACCCTTTATTTTGTCCTTATCGTTAAAACTCAAAGTTTTCAAGCCCTTTTCATTAGTTTTCCTTAAATAAAATAAAATAAAATAAAAAAACTAAGCTAAAAAAGGTGTTTGGTAAACACTTAAAAACAACTTATTTTCACAGTTTTGGGTGAAAAAAGGCTGAAAACGTGAAGCAGCAAAAATGAGATTATTCTCACAGCACAGCAAAAACAGTTTTTTTTATTTTATTTTATTTTTTTTTCAAAGCACAACAATACCAAACCAACCCTTAAACACGTTCAAAATATCTTAAGAGGAGAATAGTGCTGGTTATAAAAAACAGGTTTTTCGCACGAGCAAAATAATATGATTCGATTAGTTGTCAAATGATTGTTTTTTTTTTTTTGAACAAATGATATTATCTACACTAAGGAGAAGGGGGTGGGCTTAGTCTCACATTGGGTTAACAATATTGTAATTCAATAAGTTGTTTATTAAATATTATTTTCTCTATTTTTAAACACATCCAAAACATCTTAAGAGCCACGTACCGCCGGTGATAAAAAAGGTCTTTCACCGCGCACAATAATGTGATTCAATCAATTGTATTCTTTTTAAACACTTAAAAGGCACGCAATACCAATTATGAAAAATAAAATAAAATAAATAAAAAAAAAGCCTTTCGACGTGCATAATAATGTGATTCAATTAGTTGTCAAATGGTCGTTTTTTTATTTTTTATTTTGAACAAACGATGTTTTCTATACTAAAGGGGAGGGGGTGGGCTTAACCTCACAATGGTTTAGCAATAATATAATTCAATCAATTGTTCATTAAATACTATTTTTTGTATTCTTAATATAAATTCAATAGAATGTAGATGGAAATTGAAAGACCGATTTTATTATGTGGATTCAGCTGCTTTGATTGGTTTATGAGCGGTTTCTTCTAGTATGGTCGAATATTATTCATTTTTTTTCAAATATTTGACTTTTTTTTGTCATAAAAAAAATTATTGAAGCAATTCAGCATATAAATACATTTAAAACATTTAAGTCAAGTATAACATGTTGTGGTTCAAAAAATATCTTCAGCACTCGCTCTAGTAAGACATAAAATTGTGTATAAAAATCACCATAAAGAAATTTATCCGCCTTTTGAGTGGGTTTAAAAGGTAATTGGGCCCCCAGTTTTAAAAACAAAAGTGCACCCACTATGATTTGGCCCAAAACTTCGTAGAGGTAACGGGAGAGGGTAGGGAAGCAGCTGAGATTTGGTTCTCAGACAGCCGAAAAAAAAACCCCCAAAATATTTCCTTCGAGTGGGCACGTTCAGTTCTAAAACCCTACTGACCCCTGACCCCGCAACAAAAAAGTGCTAAAACCCTTCGGGCAGAGTCAGAGAACAACTCAATCGGCATCGGTACCAGAAGCTCCTGCAAAATCTCGCCGAGTATTGGTCCCATGCTTGATGTTCGTCAAAAGCCCAAGGTAATACTTCGTACAGAGACTCCATATTTATTTGTGTTAACCTGAAAATCTGGGCGTTTTAGGCACATATAGTAATTACTAGGTTGGAATCTCTTCAAATTTGTCATGACCCATTTGCAGAAACTCAGATTAGCATCTGTTCGCAAATGGGTTTCGTTGAATTGTTGCGAAAACCGTGTTAGATCACCTCTAATCCCATTTCAGCCAATTGGGTATTTCTGCAATGCCCCAACCTTTAGAACGTACAGTACCAATGGAGCTTCTGCAAATGAGAATTCCAAAAGTTCGGATAAAACTTCGAGTGGTAAGGGAGGAAATGCTGTTCGAATTTCTTATTCCATTCGAAAAGAAGCGGAAGCTGCATTGTTGGATTATTTGCATGGTACTAGAGGGTTGCAGTTCACGGATGCAGAGAATATGAGTAAAAACTCGCCTCGCTTTCTCGACAAGCTTCTGAGACAGGTTGATATTGAAAAAGAAATTCTTGCAAAGAAGAATAATCAGAAAGATATTGGGCGGGCAATTGCGCGGTTCTTGCGGTACCATCCTATTAACGAATTTGAGCCTTTCTTTGAGAGTTTGGGTTTGAATCCTTCTGAGTATTCTCCGCTTCTTCCACGCAGTTTGACGTTTTTGACTGATGATAAGTTATTAGTGCACAATTATACTGTACTATGTGATTATGGAATTGCACGCAGTAAGATAGGAAAGATTTACAAGGAATGGACAGAAGTCTTTCAATATGACTTTGAGGTTTTAACATCGAAACTTAAAGCTTATCAAGAACTAGGTCTTAGCCAATCTACTTTTGGTAAGTTTATAGTTGCTACTCCTTGTCTTTTAATTGGGGATGTAAATGTTGAATTTGTTAAGGTTTTGGAAAAATTGCAGAGTTTTGGATTTAAAACCATTTGGATTGAAGGTAATTTGTCAGCAGATAGTTCTCATAATTGGAGCCGGATGCTTGAAGTTCTTAGTTTGTTTAGTGAGATGGGTTGCAGTACCGAACGGTTGGGTCAATTGATTGGTCAGCACCCAGATATTTTGTTTGATGGTTCTGGTGAAAAAACGCTTTCACTAATTGGGTTCTTACTGAAATTTGGATCCACAAAAAGCCAGCTGTGTTCAATATTTCTGCAATTTCCACAGATTCCAGTTGTGAAATTTGTTTCAAATTTAAGACAATGCATTTTGTTCCTGAATGAGATTGACATGAATGTTGCAGAGATTGGGAAGATTGTCCATTCCCACCCCCTGCTTCTCGGTTCTTGTTCTTTGAAAAAAACCGTCAGTTTACTCTCAAACTTGAACGCTGGGAAGAAAAGATTGTGTACATGCATCCAGAAGAACCCACAAGTATTGAAGAATTGGGTTTTGGGTAAAAGAGTTGAGCGAATTCCAGACTCGGGAGACGACCTTAGATCAAAGATACAAAAGATTAAGTTTTTGTTGGATGCAGGATTTGTAGACAACTCAGACAATATTAAAGAAGCACTGAAAGCATTTCGCGGCAAGGGAATGGAGCTTCAGGAAAGATTTGATTGTATTGTTAAAGCTGGTTTAAGTCCAGAGGATGTCTGTACAATGATTAAAATAAGCCCTCAAATTCTTAACCAGACAAAGGATATCATTGAAGAGAAGATTGATTTTCTTGTAAATCAATTGGTTTACCCCATTTCGACTTTGGTGACCTTCCCAAGATATCTTTCCTATAAGATTGAAAGGGTCCAGCTTAGGACATTGATGTACAATTGGCTCAAGGATCATGGAACAGCTGATCCTCGGCTTAACCTTAGCACTATTATTTCTTGCTCAGATAAATGTTTTGTTAGTTCTTATGTAAATCGTCATCCTAGTGGTCCTCAAGTGTGGGAGGATTTGAAGAATGAAATTTATTCCAAGAATTAAGCTATTTATTGCCTCTACTGTTATGGTTCTTTCTGTATTGTTGGTTTCCTTAAGTTGATACTAACAAACCTCTTTCTGTTTTCTTTTACTTGGGGGGAATTTTTGTTAGTGTTAACAGGCAAGATGGCACATATGGGTAAATATAAGCAAAGATTCTTTAGCACCGGATTAGCGTAACTTGTAAGTTTATGTGCATGTGTGCAGGTACTTCTGGACTTGAGTAATTGTTCATGTTCTGCATAGATGCTAAATTAGTTTATTAAGTGATATAATAATTTTCCCTATAATCTATTATTTTTCTATTCATCGCCTTTTTCTCGTGATGTGAAAATTTCTCTTGATCTTGTTGGTTATGAATTCATTAGTGTGTCTCCACTCTACCTTTACACAACCATTTGCATTTCCAAGTCCGTAGTAGTCCAGTTTAAAATGGCTTATCGTCGTGAGCCTGAAAGCTTCTCAGTTTGACTCCTGTTATCAGACTTTAAGCTGTATCTGCCTCAACCGAGGTTTTACTGTTCTAATCAAATTTGAAATTCTTGTGTGTGCGTTTCAGAAAAGGGATGAAAGGTAAACTATGGTGGCTCATGCTTGTTGAAACTTACTGGGCCATATGAAGAGTTATGCATTCACCTGTTTCTTCTGATTTTGTTTAAGTTTGGAAGTACATATCGCTTCACTTGATGGGATAAGGCTTTGTTGTTGTTGTTGTTTGAAGTACATATCGCACTCATGAGGGTGTACAAGATTTTGGAACTGGCGTGCTGGTAGTTCAGTTACTGCTCAACAGATTTTGTTCATGTCTTAAAGCATATTAAAGCATTCATAAACATTTTCACTGTTTCAGTTCGAGAAATCGGAGTTATCTTGTTGAATGACTAAGAGCAATTAAAACCAGCGTCGGGCGTGCAGGTAACTCTGTCTTTGATCCCAAGCTTGACGCACCGCGAAGTTCTATGAAATAGTTGCAGATCAAACATTGCTTGATCCTACATTTTGGAATTTTTAGTATGCCTTCGAGAAGTTGAAGGGTGCTTTAGTTTTTCGTTCACTTTTTGCTCATCTAGTTCTTAAGAAATTAGGGCTCGTTTAGAAGGGCTTTTAAATGACTACAAACGTTTTTGATGAAAAGTTTTTGAAATCAATTCGAATAGATCCTTCAAAAGCACAGTAAGTACTTCCTACAAGAAACACATATTTGGTGTTTCTTTTACAAAGCACTTTTGGAATCCAAAATCAATTTCATCAAAAGCGTTTGCAGTCATTTTAAAAGTACTTTCAAATAAGTCATTAATATCTTGTTTAGGTGCTTTTGTTTTGGTACTAAAGCAATAAACCTTTGGTAACGAAAATGGTTCTATATATTTACTAATTTTTATATTTATAAAAGATAGCGCGAATTAGTGACTCTAATATTAGATTGGAACAAATAAATAGAGAAAAAAAGATGTAACACATCAAATTTAATTTACATCTCGTACTGGACATGCTCTAAAGAGATCATGTTAATGTTAATTTATCTAATACCTGTAAATAAATTACTTGAGAATTAATTAGTACTCACCAAGAGAATATTGACTATTTCATAGGAAATTTATGCTATTACTAAACACATCGATATTCTATTCACTTGCAGTTTCCTTTACGAGATGTAAATTTGCGCTACAACTAAAAACATTAACGTTGATTTTCAACATTGATGCTTTGGAAATTTGTGCTAGTACTCATCAAGAGAATGTTGACTATTTCATTGAAAATTTGTACAGCATGGCATGCGTGTTGATTTTCAACATTAACTGTTTCTCGTCGTATTAAAAAATATAAATTTGCTTAAGAAAGGGAGAAAAGTGCAAAGTGATACCCAACTGGATTCGACTGTGACCTAAGCAGTAAGCATCAGTACCGGATACATAAAACCTGCTGAATATTTAATGACACTTGGACTAGGAAGAGCACGACAAAAAAGCACTCGCTACTTTCTCACCAGTTTCTCCTCTCCCCTTTCTCTATTCAACTTCTTTCCCTCTGCCTCCTTCCTCCCTTTAAAAGCTCTCAAAATCTTATTGCTTTTGATTAATCCCTTCAGCATCCAATATTTCTGCTAACCTTTCTCTCTAATCACATCGTTTTCTGATCTGGGTATTCTTTACTTGTTTCTTCGGATCGAAGTTTTCAATTTTAATTGGATATTTCTGCTAACTTCATCACTGTTGGAAAACCTTTCATACAAAAAACAAGCCTGTTTTGGTTGATGGGTTTTTGTTAGTTTCTTGATTGGTGTAATCAGATTCTGAGAAATGGATTTTTGTGAATGAGATGCAGAAAGTGGATATTTTCTTTCAGGTAAGCTCTTCCTTCTTCTATCTTCTCCATGTTGCAAATATATATATATATATATATATATATTTTTTTTTTTTTGATTTTCTCATATGAATGCTTTTGCGTTGTTATGTGAAAATAAATGGTAGTGAAAAGAAAATAAATTGCTTTTGATATCGTGGATTTCTAATAGTTTGAGACCTGAAAATTTTGAAAGTGAAAATTTTGAAGATGGGTGGAATTAGTTCATCATAATCTGAAACTGAAAGCATAAGTCTTAAGGTTCAAATCTATGGATCCTTTCTTGCATATTTTTTTCTGCAGCCAAAGTTGGGATTAGGATTTGGATTGTTATACTTAAGATTGAAGCCAGAATGTTTGATTTGCCATTGGTTTTTGATCCAAAAGGGATTGGTCTTCCTTGTTGATCTGCAGTTACTAGTAAATAAGTTGTTCGGGTTGAATTTCACAACGGGTTTAGCTGTTTTGTGATACATACCTACCGTTTCCTGGTGTTTCCGTATGTTTCCCCTTCGATTTCTCTATGCTAAGATGATTAAACTGAGTCAGTACAGTCGCTCGATGTTGGAACCTGTTGGCTGGATCAAGATACATTTTTGGCTTTGGATATTTGAAATTATCGAGATCAAGGATTTGATCCTGCATTTTCCTTTCTTCTTAATTGAATTCAAGAGAAACCAAAGAGAGTGCTAGGAATTAAGCGGTCGCTGATTTGCATGGTCGACTTGAAGTTTCTGATTTTGTTTGTAGTTCCTTATGATGTTAGTAAAGGTTTGGGAAATGTCCTGTCCCTTAAAGGTGTCAGTTTTGACTCAATTTTTTTTATCTAAACTGGTTCATTATTAACTTTATCATTGGCGGATTTCCTTCAGTCGTCTTCTGCTTGTGGATGGCTTATGTTTGCATTCTGTCAAACAAACTTTGCAGGTTGATAGGTGGAGTTCATTCAGCTACACAGTGTAGTTTTTGCTTCTAAGATCATCGGTTTGCATTTGCAGAAATTCCTTAGTTTGGAAATTTCATCACAAGGGTTTTTGGCTATGGGTAGAGGGAGAGGAAAAGCAAAGAAACAAAATGTTATTGCTGCTCGTGAGGATACTGGAAGTGGTGAAGAGGAAAGGATTCTACCAAGCAGGAGAAGAGGAAGGCCACAAAAGACATTGAAGGACGATATTGTAGAAGGAGAAGAGGCTCTGAAGACAGAAGATGGCGAGGATGCAAAAAGTCATGTTTCGAGCAAAGACATGAAAGGCCAATCTGCCATAGAGAATGGAAGGAAAAGGAAGAGGTCAGCTCAGGTCAAAGAAACTGTAAAATCAGTCAAAGAGGATAAAATGATTGAAACAAAATCAAGTCTCGATGACCCGAAAAAGTCTGTTGGATTCCGACAAAATGGGAGTAGGCGAAAAAATAAGCCTCACCGAGCTGCTGAAGCTGGTGTTGAGTGCCAGTGAGTTCAGTTCTGCTGTTGTGATGGTTGCCCACCTTCTTTGCTCACCTCCTTGTTGGTTCACATATCATTCCTTATACTGCCTTCGTTATATGTTTTTCTGAGTTCCTTCTTTGCTAGCAGATGATTTTGATTGTGAGATTCCGATAACAATGTTTGTTTGTTCCATGCTTTTTGCTTCTGTTACTGGCCAGAGACATGCTTTATGTTAGCTGTAAAAAGAATATCTCTGACCAACTTCATTTTTTGAAATTAGATGAAATGCATTTGTTTTTCTGCGTATACTCCTTTTTTAGCAGATGTTCAATGTTGACACTTGTTGCAATTGATAGCTGAGGATACTCAAATACTGAACAAAGGAAAATCAGGTGAGTTTAAGGGTTTAACAGATTTTATTTTAATTTTATTAAGTCTATGTTATTATATGTTCCCGTTAAGTCATGGATGTCGTTCCCTTGAAGCTTGATAACATTGTCATAGCTATGTGAATATATGTTGTTGTCCATTTTACTTATCGCAGAAAAAAATTGCTGGTTACTTAGTTTGTTTTCTTCCGGCGTGCTCATATTCCCAAACACTCACGCGCACACACACGTATACACATTCTGGTATGCTGGCAAACAACGAAAAACAACATTTTCAAAATAGAAGGGTTCTATGCTTCTCCTCTCTGGTTCCTATTTTCGGAATATATTGGTTGAGATGCCAACAAGCCAAGTTAGCCAACTGAACACGTGCCTCTGATTGATAAGAAGCAAAATTACTTCGCATACACAAGATTTAAATCTAGAACTTGGAAGCATTTTGTTACTTCTTCCCAACTTTTGGCGTACCACGGACATCTGCTCGAAGTCTACGTTGGTTGTTGAACGGCCTAGAGACCAATGAAAGATGAATTGGCCTTCAGGTAGGAGTCAGTAGTCTAAACCAGTATCATGGATGACAATTATAAGTTCGCAGATGAGGATGAAAGTTTGGCAGTGTTGTATCACTCCATTTTTCATGTCAATTGTTTCCTAGACCAAATGCATTTCTCATTACTTTTGAGATGGAGTTTCTTCTGTGTAATACTAATCGATAGGGCCTCATTGGTAAGTGCAACAAGATCTTGTACATTGGAACCCATGGTTGGACCCGAATCATGGAATCTTCTTTACCTCGTCCTCGGCCTCGACTTCGTCCATGGATGTTGACGCCTCCATGTCGGGAATTCCTTTGGCCACAACCACCTTTTGGTTTTTAAAGATTTCGATTTGACGCCAAAGCTTGCTCTAGTTGTTTGTTTTGTTGCAGTTTGTTATATTGTTCTGTATGTCTGATCTCATCGTCAAGTCCATTCCAATGGCTCAATAAATTGAACAATATGTAATGGATAAGTTCCGGAATGGACTTGACGGGAATGACAAAAGTATCTCCAAGATTCCCATTAGGAACAAATTTTACTACCTCAACAATGTTTTGACCGAGTGCCAGATGCTAGCGAGAAAACATGGTTTCAAGTTTCAACTCTCCAGAGGAGATACCATAAACAGAATCAGGAGGGAGTTAAACAAGATCAAGAGGGAGCTCAAGGTGATAACAGATAAAAAGAGATCATCCCATGGAAATTTCGCTCCACAACCTAATAATGGCCAAGCAAGCTCACAGGACAGAGAGCTTTTGAGGTGGACTACTCGTCCAGTACATGCTTCCAATGTTCATGGATTTGATGATGATGTGATTTCAATGAAAAAGTTGCTTGTTTTTTCCATGCTTTTTGCTTCTGTAACTGGCCAGAGACATGCTTTCTGTTAGCTGCAATGTATTAAAAGGCGAAGGCCTCCCATGGATAGCCCCGCCTAGGAGTGAGGCGTGAGGTGAAATGGGTGTGCGAATATATATTACATATATAATTATATTTTAGGGGTATGCTATCCACACACCCGTTTTTACTTCTCACACTCTTGTTGATTTCTGTCCCTTGATTTTCTTCAATTCATCTGATTCGATGGCCGAAAATTAAAAGGGTGTATGAGAAGTAAAATGGGTGTGCGAATATCACACTCCATATTTTATAGATATAATACTTCGTAAAACAAATATAATTATAACTAAATCATGGATAATATCATCTTCTTCATTACTAAGTCTAGTTGTACTTAGAAACTATGTCATAAAGTCTTGAAATGTTGTAATTATTTATTTTATAGTAAGCAATTATAGAGAAATTTAAGAGAAATAAGGGTGAGTGACCACAATTAAAGGGAATTTCAAGGAAAATAAAGGCCGAATGTCACAATTATAGGGAAATTCAAAAGGAAATAAAGGTTGTTTAGAGAAATTCATAAAGGCTAAGCGGAGAAATTATATTGGAATTTAAAAGGAAGTAAAAGCTTAGTGGAGCAATTATTATGAGGAATTCAAAGGAAAATAAAGGAAGAGTTAGAGTTGGAGTTAGACTTTGTCATTTGGAGAGAGAAACTCTCTCTTCCTTCTTAGTTTAAACTAGAACAGCCTACTGTATTTTAGAAAAAGACATGAATTTTGAAGGGAAAAACATCGAAGTTGAACGCCTGGGAGCGTCTCAGCCTCCTAGGCGAGTACCGAGGCCGCCCTACGCCCGCCTCCACAAAACAGAGGCAAAAATCCAGCCGTCCAGCCTTCAAGGCCGCTTAGGCACACCCCAAGGCTAGTTTTTTAGGACAAAATAGCACTATTTAGTGACTAGGAGCGGAGAGCCCGTTGCGCGTCTATATCAAAACGTCCCAAAAGAATATCTCTGACCAACTTCATTTTTTGAAATTAGATGAAATGCCTTCATATCTCTGCGTGTATTCCTTTTTTGCCTGAAAAGGAAAATAAAAATGGGCATATGTATGTGATGAATGTGAACATAAGCTACTCAAAATAACGAAAAATGGAAACTTATAGCTGGAGATAGACCTGTAGACCCGAAGTCTTGAATAAAGATATGTCCTTTGTGATGGATTACAAGTCTTGAATGGATTTGTTGCACATTCCTTGAACATGTGAACTAGAGATGCGACCCTTGTGATGGTTTTCCATGAACTCTCTAACAGCAAATGAATAACATCGTACTCTGACTTCTTATGAACATGTTAACGGATGTTCAATGTTGACACTTGTCGCAATTGATAGCTGCTGAACAAAGGAAAATCAGATGAGTTTAAGGGTTAACAGATTTTATTTTGATTTTCTTATGTCTGTAATTATATGTTCCCGTTAAGTCATGGATGTCTTTCCCTTGAAGCTTGATAACAGTCATCTCTATGTGAATATATTGTTTGTTTTCTTCCGGCATGCTTTATGGTCCTTGATGAAGTGTACTCGTATTCACAAACACGCTCGCGCACGCATGCTTATACACATTCTGATGTTGGCAAATATATTGGTTGGGGTGCCCAAATGAAATTGTTATCCACATTCCCTTTCAAATTTCAATGCATCTAAAGAAAAACCCAAACCCTGATGTACAAGTTCCCAATTTTTTTCTTTTCTTGCCAGTTATCGTTACAATTTTGAGTAAATAAAAGAGGGTTGCAGAGGTTATTCAATGGCTCAAGAAATTGAACATTATCTAATGGATAAGTTCCGGAATGGACTTGATGGGAAAGACAAAAGTCTCTCCAAGATTCCCCGGTACAATCAATTTCAAGAAATAAAGACTTTGCTTGAAGAAATTTTCAGCTCAGACTTGCCTGTAGAATCATCCACCAGGGACAAACTTTACTACCTCAACAATTTTTTAAACTGAGTGCCAGATGCTCGAGAAAACACGATTTCAACTCCCCTCAGGAGCTACTGACCATAAACAGAATCAGGAGGGAGTTAAGAAAGATCAAGAGGGAGCTCAAGGTTATAACACAGAAAAGAGATCATCCTAAGCAAGATCAAGAGGGAGCTCAAGGTTACAACACATAAAAGAGATCATCCCATGGAAATTTTGCTCCACAACCTAATAATGGCCAAGCAAGCTCACAGGACAGAGAGCTTTTGAGGTGGACTACTCGTTCAGTGGATGCTTCCAAGGTTTATGGATTTGATGAGGATGTGATTTCAATGAAAAAGTTGCTTTTCCAGCAAGGAAGTGATGACCGGTTCAGGGAAGTAGGCTTTGTTGGTGGGGACGGTATAGGAAAAACAACACTTTTCCAGCTCTTATTTGACAAACAAGAAGTGAAAAACACATTCCTCCCAACATGTGTTTCTTTTATTGTTGATCTGCATTGTTTTTCTTATAAAACTTCGATGAAACAATGATATTGTTAAATGAGTTTGTGAAATTTGGAGTATGTAATAACTAGTTATAAGAATATAGCTAACGGTTCTGGAACAACGAACTTTGTATGCTTTTTGTAGATCCCCTGTTGTAATAAGTCAAGGTGGCAACAAATAGGGGCACATTCGATGTCGTTAAAATGAGCCCAGGTTGCATTGTTCGTGTCGTCTAGATTCAGGTATGCAAGTTTCGAGAGACGACACTGTTGAGCCACTAAAGCCTGTCAAATATATTGTTTGTTTTCTTGTGAAAACGGTATAGGAAAAACAACACTTTTCCATCTCTATGTGAATATATTGTTTGTTTTCTGGCAACCATTTTCACAAGGAAAAAAAAATTCGACTCTACAGAAAGCATAGCACATGGATCAAATGGTCTAGTTATCTAAAGTTATCAGATTGTAAGTAGTATAGGTCTACATACTACTGCTAGTAAGATCCTTCGACATAAGGGACCACATTTCGGGTACTAAATTTTTTGAATTTCCAGATTGACATCAGGAATTATTTTCTCTATGATCTATGGCTAACTAAAGATCGACATCTGCTAGAACTTATGACAGTTTCATGGGTAAGAAAACCTTGGAGTAGAAATGAAATTTAATTCGAAACCGGAATGAATAAATTCAATAAGCGAAATGGCATTTTCTTATTCTTCTTCGGAGACTAGAGAATTACAGTTTCCTTTTCAGTGAATACTTATGTTACACTCCGCGCATTCAAACACCAAACCTTCACAAGGTTCTCCACACAACTGACAATCAAGAATGCTCTCTCGCTTATCGAAAGGAATGGCACTCTTTCTCTTATCAACAAGAGGAACAGGGTGTGGATGAGCATTATGCTTGTAACTGCTCCCTAACTTGACTTGCGGATACCTCCCCAGAAGGCAATGAGGATGGATATCAAAGCCGCAATCTGTAGAGTAGTAGAACCAATGTGTAGGATCTCGTTCTCCTTCACATATTTCGCAATAATAGTCACCTAGTTCGTTTGGAACCGGA